CAGCAAAGGGGGGGGGACGCAGCAAAGGGGGGGGGGACGCAGCAAAGGGGGGGGGACGCAGCAAAGGGGGGGGGGACGCAGCAAAGGGGGGGGGACGCAGCAAAGGGGGGGGGACGCAGCAAAGGGGGGGGGGGACGACGCAGCAAGGGGGGGGGACGCAGCAAAGGGGGGGGGGGACGCAGCAAAGGGGGGGGGTGGGGACGCGCCAAAGGGGACGAGGGGGGAAACGCGGCAAAAGGGAGTAAGGGGAGGGGAAGCGGCAAAGGGGAGGGGCAGCGGCAAAGGGGAGTAGGGGAGAGGCAGCGGCAAAGGGGAGTAGGGGAGGAGGCAGCGGCAAAGGGGAGTAGGGGAGGAGGCAGCGGCAAAGGGGAGTAGGGGAGGAGGCAGCGGCAAAGGGGAGTAGGGGGGGGGAGCAAAGGGGAGTAGGGGGAGCAGCAAAGGGGGGGAGGCAGCGGCAAAGGGAAGTAGGGGGGGAGGCAGCGGCAAAGGGGAGTAGGGGAGAGGCAGCGGCAAAGGGGAGTAGGGGGGAGGCAGCGGCAAAGGGGAGTAGGGGGGAGGCAGCGGCAAAGGGGAGTAGGGGGGAGGCAGCGGCAAAGGGGAGTAGGGGGGAGGCAGCGGCAAAGGGGAGTAGGGGGGAAGCAGCGGCAAAGGGGAGTAGGGGGGAGGCAGCGGCAAAGGGGAGTAGGGGGGAGGCAGCGGCAAAGGGGAGTAGGGGGGAGGCAGCGGCAAAGGGGAGTAGGGGGGAGGCAGCGGCAAAGGGGAGTAGGGGGGAGGCAGCGGCAAAGGGGAGTAGGGGGGAGGCAGCAAAGGGGAGTAGGGGGGAGGCAGCGGCAAAGGGGAGTAGGGGGGAGGCAGCGGCAAAGGGGAGTAGGGGGGAGGCAGCGGCAAAGGGGAGTAGGGGGGAGGCAGCGGCAAAGGGGAGTAGGGGGGAGGCAGCGGCAAAGGGGAGTAGGGGGGAGGCAGCGGCAAAGGGGAGTAGGGGTGGTTCCCCCACATACAGCTCACCTTCAAGAGACGAAGCTGGAACTGTATACCAAAAGTGAGGTAAAACACACTGAAGTGCAGTTTCTCTCAGCGTCCTATTTATACCCAGCAGCCAACCACACTCGGCCGCTGATTGGTTGATATTCACCCTAACCCTCACCCCATTGGTTAACATTTTGCGAGTCTCAAGTGTCAATTAACAATGGCCAACAGCCACTCCTTCACTTCCCCAAATACGAACGAGTCTCTAATGAACCAATAATGATCCCCAGCTTGATTTTCAATTTCTAATTTACAAACCAAATACAACATTCTATTGTAAATGTTGCAACACAACTGTGCTCAGTCCCACAAGGTCTCCGTCCTGTCCTCTGTGCTCAGTCCCACAAGGTCTCCGTCCTGTCCTCTGTGCTCAGTTCCACAAGGTCTCCGTCCTGTCCTCTGTGCTCAGTCCCACAAGGTCTCCGTCCTGTCCTCTGTGCTCAGTCCCACAAGGTCTCCGTTCCCACAAGGTCTCCGTCCTGTCCACTGTGCTCAGTCCCACAAGGTCTCCGTCCTGTCCTCTGTGCTCAGTCCCACAAGGTCTCCGTCCTGTCCTCTGTGCTCAGTCCCACAAGGTCTCCGTCCTGTCCTCTGTGCTCAGTCCCACAAGGTCTCCGTCCTGTCCTCTGTGCTCAGTCCCACAAGGTCTCCGTCCTGTCCTCTGTGCTCAGTCCCACAAGGTCTCCGTCCTGTCCTCTGTGCTCAGTCCCACAAGGTCTCCGTCCTGTCCTCTGTGCTCAGTCCCACAAGGTCTCCGTGCCTGTCCTCTGTGCTCAGTCCCACAAGGTCTCCGTCCTGTCCTCTGTGCTCAGTCCCACAAGGTCTCTGTGCCGTCCTCTGTGCTCAGTCCCACAAGGTCTCCGTCCTGTCCTCTGTGCTCAGTCCCACAAGGTCTCCGTGTCCGTCCTCTGTGCTCAGTCCCACAAGGTCTCCGTCCTGTCCTCTGTGCTCAGTCCCACAAGGTCTCCGTGCTGTCCTCTGTGCTCAGTCCCACAAGGTCTCCGTCCTGTCCTCTGTGCTCAGTCCCACAAGGTCTCCGTCCTGTCCTCTGTGCTCAGTCCCACAAGGTCTCCGTGCTGTCCTCTGTGCTCAGTCCCACAAGGTCTCCGTCCTGTCCTCTGTGCTCAGTCCCACAAGGTCTCCGTCCTGTCCTCTGTGCTCAGTCCCACAAGGTCTCCGTCCTGTCCTCTGTGCTCAGTCCCACAAGGTCTCCGTGCCTGTCCTCTGTGCTGTCCCACAAGGTCTCTGTGCTGTCCTCTGCTCAGTCCCACAAGGTCTTCGTGCCATCCTCTGTGCTCAGTCCCACAAGGTCTCCGTCCTGTCCTCTGTGCTCAGTCCCACAAGGTCTCTGTCGTCCTCTGTGCTCAGTCCCACAAGGTCTCTGTCGTCCTCTGTGCTCAGTCCCACAAGGTCTCTGTCGTCCTCTGTGCTCAGTCCCACAAGGTCTCCGTGCCATCCTCTGCTCAGTCCCACAAGGTCTCCGTGCCGTCCTCTGTGCTCGGTCCCACAAGGTCTCCGTGCTGTCCTCTGTGCTCAGTCCCACAAGGTCTCCGTGCCTGTCCTCTGTGCTCAGTCCCACAAGGTCTCCGTGCCTGTCCTCTGTGCTCAGTCCCACAAGGTCTCCGTGCCTGTCCTCTGTGCTCAGTCCCACAAGGTCTCCGTGCTGTCCTCTGTGCTCAGTCCCACAAGGTCTCCGTCCTGTCCTCTGTGCTCAGTCCCACAAGGTCTCCGTCCTGTCCACTGTGCTCAGTCCCACAAGGTCTCCGTGTTGTCCTCTGTGCTCAGTCCCACAAGGTCTCCGTGCCTGTCCTCTGTGCTCAGTCCCACAAGGTCTCCGGCCTGTCCACTGTGCTCAGTCCCACAAGGTCTCCGTCCTGTCCACTGTGCTCAGTCCCACAAGGTCTCCGTCCTGTCCACTGTGCTCAGTCCCACAAGGTCTCCGTCCTGTCCACTGTGCTCAGTCCCACAAGGTCTCCGTCCTGTCCTCTGTGCTCAGTCCCACAAGGTCTCCGTCCTGTCCTCTGTGCTCAGTCCCACAAGGTCTCCGTCCTGTCCTCTGTGCTCAGTCCCACAAGGTCTCCGTCCTGTCCTCTGTGCTCAGTCCCACAAGGTCTCCGTCCTGTCCTCTGTGCTCAGTCCCACAAGGCCTCCGGCCTGTCCTCTGTGCTCAGTCCCACAAGGCCAAATTACTGACCATTCCCAGGTTGCACGAATTTAATAATAAATTGATTGCTTTAGTAATTATTAATTAATATTTTTTGACATATATTACCCAATACCCATCGGCTGTTTGAGGGTACATACACGTGGAGGTGAAGAGTACATATGCAGGTACAGAGTACATGTGGTGGTACAGAGTATATGTGGTGATGTAGGGTACATATGCATGTGCTGGTAGTATTGGACCCAATACCCATTCTGTGGATGTTATGGTCCCTATTTCCATCCCATGTTGGGTTGTGGATCTCATCCCTATCATGTGAACGGTATTGGTCCCCATAACCATCCTGTGGGTGAACAAATCCACAAGGGCCGTGACGAGGATTCGAACCTGCGTCCAGGAGCATTCCAGACACTGCCTTAATCGACTGAGCTACGACAGGGTAAAAGAGTTGAAACCGAAGTTCTACTGAACTTACTGGATTTCGTAGCCTCTCAGAGGCACTAACCAGGGTTTTACACAACTCCCCCCTGCACCCGAGCTATGTCAATAGGCCGTTCTCCCTCTTCGCCCTTACATCATTACAACTGTGGGTGGTTAGTTTAGTGTACCCTACCATATTCGTTTTTTATAATACATAATATACGATCAATTTTCTTTAATTTGTTTAAAGCATATTCTATTATATATATTATAATTTGGCGCCAAATACAATACAATACAATACAATTTTATTTAGGTAAGGTACATACATACAATAAATATTTACAAGGATTGTTTGACTTATAGGTAGAGCTAGTACATACAATGCCTAAAGCCACTATTACGCAAAGCGTTTCGGGCATGAAATACTTACAGATAATAATTCATGGAATAATTATTATAATTTACTGAGAACTACCAAAATTTCTCAGAACTAAACTACGAGCCTTCAATAGGATATGTACCTGATCTACGATATATGAATAGGATGGAAAATATTACGCCAATTTCTCCTTCAGAAACTTGCGTAAGGAATCATTCAGAACCTTGTATACCACATATGTCAGACCAATACTGGAATATGCAGCTCCAGCCTGGAGTCCACATCTAGGCAAACACAAAACGAAGTTAGAAAAGGTTCACAGGTCTGTCACCAGGCTAGTCCACGAGCAGACAGGTATGACCTACGAGGAAAGATTACTGGAATTAAGCCTCACGACACTGGAAGACAAAAAATTTAGGGAAGACATGATTACTACCTATAAAATTCTCAGAGGAATTGATAGGGTGATAGAGTAGATAAAGACAAACTGTTTAGCATTAGTGGGACACAAACAAGGGGACACAGGTGGAAACTTGAGTACCCAAGTGAGCCACAGGGACTTTAGAAAGAATTTTTTCAGTGTCACACGAGTAGTTAACAGATAGAATGCATTAAGCATTGATATGGTGGAGGCTGACTTCATACACAGTTTCAAATGTAGATATGATAGAGCCTAGTAGGCTCAGGAATCTGTATACCAGTTGATTGACAGTTGAGAGGCCGGACCAAAGAGCCAAAGCTCAACCCCCCCCCCCCCATCTCCCCCGCAAGCAAAACTAGGCGAGGACACCAGAAGTGGGAATGAAAAATTACAATTATCATTCAAAATTGAGCAAAAAGACTATTTTGCTGCCTACGACAATGGGACGAGTACTATATGGGACGGGTACTATACGGGACGTGAGGAAGGGTTGGTGCCTGGTGATGGCTAATAACTGTAACTCTACCCCAGGGTAAACTGTGAACATTAGCATCATAGGAACTATGAGCATTATGTGACATAAGTACTATGGTATACTGAGAACAGGTTGAGTTGTGAGGACGATATCAAGGTTGACTTCCCGTGAGACACACACTGCGCAGTGCTACAAGTTCTCAACATTATCGAGACATACTTGAGTTATTCTCCACAAAGATCTTGCCAAATTATTGGGAAGTACATTGTTTCCGGTTCTGCTACTTCATAATTATTATCTGCCCGTCTAATATTATGTATTGTTGAGCTGGTTATGAGGTAGGACAAGACCACCCGGAAAGGGTAAGTCTCCAACATTAATTTAATACTTCTCATTGTCATATAGATGTCGTTTTGCATTGTTAATAAATTATAGCAGAATTGTGGCTCAGTGGACATATTTGGAGTTTGAAATTACGACTTTTTATACCGAAAATATGCCAATTAGTGAAAACGGCGATGGGTCAGATTTTGGCCAAATCCCCCTACAGTTTTTAAAATACGATGTCTATTGGAAATATGACTCTTGATCTTTATTTTTTTTAATTCATATTTACAATGGACATCGTATTTTGAAAATTGCAGGGAGATTTGTGCAAAAATATGACCAATCGCCGGATTTGACTAATTTGCATATTTTCGGTATAAAAAGTCGTAATTTAAAACTCCAAATATGTACAAATCACTCTAAATTAATGCTATTTTGTTGTTGGTTGAGGAAGCTATAGGAAGCTATAGGAAGCTTTGGGTTATTATAGGGAGCCGGAGGAGAAGGGAGCATCAGCTGGGCCTCTCTCACATGTAAACAAACCCAGCTGATCCACTTGTGTAAATATTGCTCAAATATTTATGCGTTATTCCCCTCTAAACTTAAATACACACACCTTTTACGCATTATATTACAAGTACAAGTTAACGTAATATCTATAACTATATATATATATATATATATATGTGTGTGTAAAGTTAGCAGGTTATTGTTGTTGTAGATTGTGGTTGTGTTGTGAGGACCGTGAAGGTGGCCAGTGTCCCCCAGACCTGCCCTGCTGTACCTCCTGCTGTACCTCCTGCTGACTTCCTGCTGACCTCGTGACCTGCTGCTGCATGTGGTTGTTTGGGTAAGGCTTCCTCGTGTATAAGGTGTTCGTGTTGGTTACACGGGCAGGCCTTAAGACGAAGTAGGTTTGCTAATGAAAAATTAAAGTACAGTACAGTACTAAATACAGTACAATTTATAAGTTATTGCACTAAGCGCATTTTCTTACACCTTATGCCGCTGTTCACCTTGGCAGTATATAGGTACCTAGGAGTTAGGCAACTGTTGTGGGCTGTTTATTGTCCCTAATACAGTTTTCTCATCTACATTAATGACCTTCCAAATGCCTCCCAACACCTCAAACCAATTCTATTTGCTGACGACACAACCTTCATTTACTCCAGTCCTGACCCTCTTGCTCTAAATGCCACAGTAAATACTGAGCTAAATAAAGTCCATCTTTGGCTAACTGCCAACAAACTCACCCTTAACATTGACAAAACCTTCTATATTCTGTTTGGCAATAAATCCTCTAGTCTTATAAATCTCAAAATAAACAATACCCAAATTTGTAACAAATTAGATGGCAAATTCCTTGGCATTCTCATTGACCACAAGCTGAATTTCCAGGGACACATTCTAAATATATCAAAAAAAAGTTTCAAAAAACTGTGGGCATTCTTTCTAAGATCAGATATTATGTACCACGCCCTGCTCTGGTGACTCTCTATTACTCCCTTATCTATCCTTATCTCAACTATGGTATTTGTGCTTGGGGTTCTACTACCCAAAATCACTTACGTCCTCTAATTACCAGCACAAAGCCGCTATTAGAACAATATCCAACTCTGGCCCCAGACATCACTCGGTACCCCTACTCAAATCTCTTAATATGTTAGATATTAAGTCACTGCACATTCTCTCATGTGTATTATACATATTTAAAACGCTAAACTATAATGCCAATCCTGATCTCAAAAGCTTCATAGAAGGTTGTAACAGAACCCATGAGCACCACACCAGAAATAAATACAGTTTTGATATTCCTAGAGTACGTCTTAATCAAACTAGAAATGCTCTGCAAATCAAGGGGCCCAGAATGTGGAATGACCTTCCCAACCATGTTAAAGACTGTACCTCTCTCAACCAGTTTAAGATAAAAACTAAACACTACCTAATAAATTCCCTGTAATCTACCTCACTCCTCTATTGTCAACCCATGTCTGTTATTTTCTTTTTTTTTTTTCTTTTTTTTTAATCAACACTGTTTGTCAACCTATTGTATTTGTGCTGCTTTTTCAGTCATGTTCCCCCTTTTTTTTTATCTTTATTTGTATTTGTTCTCAACATCTTTTATTCTTTATGCTCAATTAGTATTAAGTTCTAGATATTAATTTTTTTTCTTGCCCGAAACGCATTGCGTAATAGTGGCTTTAGGCATTGTATGTACTAGCTCTATCTATATATCAATCCTTTAATGTAACATCACTTGTATGTATATACCTTACCTGAATAAACATCTGAATCTGAATCTGAAGTCTGGGTCGGTCACCTTGACCTTTCCTCCTCTAATGTTATTCAGCTATATTGTTCATATTTAATATTCAGCTGTATTGTTCATATGCAATATTCACCTATATTGCTCATATTCAATATTCATCTATATTGTACTAAATCATTGTTGTTAATAAGGTTCGTAGGTTTGCTAATGAAAAATTAAAGTACAGTACAGTACTAAATACAGTACAATTTATAAGTTATTGCACTAAGCGCATTTTCTTACACCTTATGCCGCTGTTCACCTTGGCAGTATATAGGTACCTAGGAGTTAGGCAACTGTTGTGGGCTGTTTATTGTCCCTAATACAGTAATGGGACAATAAAATGGGTTGAAACCAGTTGGTTAAGGTTATCACGCATTAAAGGTTTGTGATTCTATTCACAAGATTACACCGAGTCAACCCATTTCCAACTCCCTCCACACTTTCAAGTACAAACCTAATTTAACATAGCCCCAACCTATCCTACCAGAATTCAATGTAACTTATCAGATAAATGTAATCCAATGGACCTCAATGTAAGCGATTAGATCTTGAAGTATTCTAGCGGACCTCTACATAACCTATCAGGCCTCAATCCAGAAAAGCATGACTTGCTGGAAGGAGCGAGTGGGAAAAAGGGCAACTCATTGTGATGTCCTGCATATCTTTTGAGAGTAAACCATATAAGAGAAAATGATAAGCTTTTCAAGAGTAATTGAGAAACTACTTGAAAAATTGTCTGAATAAGGAATTTTTGTTTAACATAAGGACTGTTGGAAATGGCCTGCAGACTTAGGGAAGCACTATGTTGTTTCAATGCAGGATAAACAAATATCGTTACACTGCTCATACAATGTGAATTATATTGTCTAGCATCCAAATAGTGCAGTTTATCATGTGTATGTATGGAAATAGTACAACACCCATGTTATCTTGGTTATTTTGAGATGATTTCGGGGCTTAGCGTCCCTGCGACCCGGTCCTCAACCAGGCCTCCTTTTTGTTACCCCCCCCCCCCAGGAAGCCACCCGTAGCAGCTGTCTGACTCCCAGGTACCTATTTACTGTTAGGTGAACAGGAGCATCAGGGTGAAAGAAACTGCCCATTTATTTCTGCCTCCACCGGGGATCGAACCTGGAACCTTAAAACTATGAATTCTGAGCACTGTTCACTCAGCCGTCAGGTGCCCTGGGTCTGTATGGAAATAGCACAACACCTGTGGTTCTGTGTGTAACATATGACTGTGGGTGTGTGAGAAGAATAAATAAAACACAAAAGAAGTTGGAAGTGGCAAAAAGCTTTTAAAGAAAGCTTTGATCCTTCGTGTTAGGTTTATGTGAAATGAAGATAAAAGGAAATGAAAATGAGTGGAATTGAGTAAATGTTAAAAGAACCCAGATTGAAGAAAATTAAAATGATAAAGAGTATGATTTAATCCTTGGACAGCGGCTATGAAAACATGGCCATATCGCTTATACACAAAAAATATAAGAATTAAAAAATAATAATTTTTCATTCTAGAATTATTAATTTGTGTGCAAAATATAAGAAAAACATGAAAATAAGTGAATATTTATGGTTTTTACTCTAGCTATGTGTGTTATGCCTTGTACAAGTGGATGCAAGAGGTGGCAGTAGCAACGCAGCTCTTTGATTGGCTGCCAGCTGAGCCAGGTGAAGCAGTGCGATCTAATTATAGCCAGTGAAAGCTGTAGTCATCATTGTAGATATTACAGTTTAAATATTGAGTATCTTATACATAGGATTTTTCCAAGATTGAACAATTTGTATTTGACAGAAACAATTTATTTTTCAGGAGATTCATGCGACCCAACGCTTCAAAAATGGGGGATCCAATGTATCCAATAATTCTATGTCATGGGCCCAATAAGCATGAAATTTTGGTCTGGGGGGCTATGACCCTTGGAGAACTAGCGAACAAGGTCAGTGGAAAGGATAAACTTTGCTGCAAGATGTTTTAATGGGTAACCTTTAATTTAAAAACAAAATTATTAATCAATTTAAAACCAAAACCAAAAAGTACCTAATTTTATCTTCGTAGTTTCCTACACTGAGCGTTAAATTTGCTCTGTATCTAGTGTTACCCAATCTTTATGTACTTAATCCAAACGACTTAATCATTGTGTTCATTGCTGTCTTCTTTTATGTGCTAGCCATATGCTGTATTGTGCCTACTAATTTTTGTTAAACTACCATTCAACCTGTCATTGCAATCAATCTGAGCTACCTATGTGCTTTAATATACCTACAATTTTCTCTCATCTTTTATTCTTTTTCTTGCCGTGTAACTGTTTCATTTTTATAAATTTTACAAGTATTTCCCTACTTAAAATTTTCTTAGATTAAGGACCTGCCCAAAACGCTGCGCGTACTAGTGGTTTTACAAGAATGTAATTACTATGCTATGTATCCTCACAATCCCAATGTACCTTCTTGTATACAGTATATATAAATAAATAAATAAATAAACCTATATTCTTTCTTGATTTTAGGAACTTTTCTGTAACTAATGGTAATTAATGTTTATGAAATAGGCCATGATAGCCCTAGAGTGCAATAAGTGAAAAGGTGTGTCCCACTTCCAAACTTATAGGTCTTTGCATGTCATATGCTTTCATTAAAGATCACTTTATCAATGTATTTCTTCACCTCTTATATGAATTTTTTTTCCTATTCTTTGTCTTCCACTTCACTTGTGCTGTCTTATCTTTCTATGTTTTTCCTTTCTGCAAAAGCTTACTTTGTGGCATGTGTTTGCTGAGGGCAGTTTTCACACCGTCTTGTTTCTTAGTACAAGCAAGTGGCAATTGCTGTGCTTTCATTGAGTTAATTTTGGTGGTTGAAGACTAGGTAAAGTACCACATTACTAGACAAAAGCAGAAATAGTGTAATAATAATGAATTCAGAAATTACAGTACCTGTAAAGGGTAGTAACTAGTCTGTTGAGCATACCAGGATTGTGCAAACGTGAAAACATTGTAGGAAAGGTACAATATAGAATATTTTTGCTGGTAAAGATAACAATTTATAAGAAAGAACTGTTGAGGTTGTAGTTCTGCTTTTTACTAGTGTTTCTATAATTTCTTGTTCCATTTTGTGCATCTTAAACTGCTTGTCCACACTCAAATGATGTGTGGAAAGGGAAGGGAATTATGAAGGGAAAAGAGCCAAGCCATTATGACTACATAGCACTTGGAAGGGGTCAGGATAAAGATTTGGGATGGGACAGAGGGAAAAGGAATGGTGTCCAACCACTTGGACGGTCGGGGATTGAACGCCGACCTGCATGAAGCGAGACCGTCGCTCTACCGTCCAGCCAAAGTGGTTGAAATGACGTGAGGGTGTTTGGTGTTTTGATGGCTTTCTTTGCTATTCTGTCCATGGCTAATATTCAGGCTCATTTCTTCTGGCTGTCCTCCTGTTGTTGGCCTCTCGGTTCTTATGGGATACCCCTTGGCATGTCCTCTTCCTAGCTCCCATGTATCTAATTCAGCCCTAAATCTTTGCCCTTCTCACTCAATGTCATCATTTTCTCTCTTGAGGCTTTGCCTTTCCTAGAGGATTGGCAGCACGACTTGTACGGGGAATCAGATGGCATCTTTGCTGTTGCATTTGATCATCCATGAGAAATGATCTGAACTTTATCAAGTCAATTCACAATCGACTTGATAATTGATTTCAAAACAATTGAAATTGTTTTCATGTTCTTATTTGTACATTACAAGAATAGTTACACTATACAACATATACAGTATAATATATTTTGGTTCTGAAAAGCTACTGATATTGTGAATGTCCCATATACAGTACAGTACTGTGTATATAGTGGATTCTCTCTCAAGTGGAACAACTAGTTTCGGACTCATCTAGTGTATTATCTGACCCTCGCCATACTTCATAAATATTTGCTAAAATTAATGTTTTTATTAGTGTAAATAATAGGACACACATCCAAATTTTAACAAAACCAAATGAAAAAAAAAGTACTGTACATATCAAATATAAATCATGTTTTGTTTACATTTTGTTTACCAGCAACACAAATGTTGTCTAGCAGGAATTACCATATTATCTGGATTCCTTATTTAGAGTGTTGCATTCGACACTAACTGGATTAGAATCTTTCTGTTGCATATTTTTTTTATTGGCATGAAATCCACTGTACATTATCATTCCAGTTTATTGAGATGTGACTGTGATACATTTTATCAATATAATATTTGTAGGAATAATCTTTTAATTACCAATAAGGTGTCCAGTGTGCATTTTTCTTTATAATATCGTGCACATCAGTAAAACTTTCTTTAATACTGTATTTCAGATTGATGAAGTTACTCGTATTCCTCATTCCAATCAGAAAATCATATTTAAAGGAAGAAACTTAGCGGATCATGACATTACCTTAGCTACATATGGTATCTCGTCTGGGACTAAGGTGATGGTTCTGGGCAAGAAGTTTGATCCTGAGGAAGATGCCAACTTTCAGGCTGTCGTCCAGGTGAGTCACTCCGTAACTTGCTCAGTTGCTTGACTGTTTTACATTGATATTAAAAATTTTCTTATTTTGCTTCAAATTAAATGTTCACAGAACATTATTTTGCTCAGTATTTTGCAATCTTTTTCAGTTCTTGACAAATCTAGTGAGATGTCCTTTTAATAGTGACCAAACACACAAATAATTGGAAGCTGTTCAGTATTTATGGGGCATTGGTCCATTAATGTATAATGTGTGTGTTAGTTTTTTGTTACATTTAGTGATATGTAAGAGACCATCATTTAATACCATTATTCATGTACTTTATATTAAAAAAAATTGCAATATTAAGTGTTTTGTTTGATTACAAGTGTTTTTTGTAATATGGATAATATGTTTTAGTATGTACTGTGCAACTTCATTCAATATTTCTGAATATATTAATCTGTAGCAAACAGTTTCTATGAGCAGAAACTTGCAGCATGTATGCAGCTTGCTTTGAATATTTAGAGTATTTTTTACATTAGAATTATATATATTTAGCTTTCTTGGATGTAGCTGTGATTTTTGAGGACGTTTTAACATAGATTTACGTTTAATTGTTATACTCTCTGATGTGAGGAAATGCATTTATTTTGGAACTGTTCCAGCAATTCACTTCAAAGTCTTTCTTCTGTATACTCTTGAATGCTGACAGAGAGCACATGCTCAGTTTCTAATCGGGAAGAGACAGATGGCTGCAGACACAACTGCTATTCTGTGTTGTCAGTCACAACTTTCATAGTGTGTTTCCATAGGTGATTATCATATTCTAACATTTTTTCAGATTGACCATTCTTGTACCAGAGTAGAAAGAACCTTATTTGACATCATCCCTCAAGTTGATGGGATTTCTGGTGGATACCTTGAATCACGTTTGTGTGGAGAAACACTGGGTAGACTGAGGAAACAGCTTCTAGCAGTTAATGAAGAGTTTATGCGCCTCTTGGAGCAGCTTGATAGCATATGTTTTGAGGTCTGATATGTATAAAATGGTATTTTAAGAATAAATAACCGTAATGGTAGCAAATTCAGTTTTTCTATGATTTGTATAATGCACTCTCAATTTAAGAATTAAGTAATAAAAAAACCTAAGCCTGAAAGACTATTTAGCAATGTTTACAGAACTAAACAGTAAAAAATCTATCATTCAGGATGTCGGAGCAAAAAGACTATATTTTGGTCCTTCCTGGACCATTAGCAATTAACTTAATAGTGGTCCAGGATGGACCAAAATGTCGTCGTCTCTTCATCTTCTGGTGTGTGGTTTGGTCATTAAAGTATGTATTTTACAAAAGTTCTCGTTTCCATTCTAGTGATTAATTTACTCTTCCAGGAGACCCAGACCCCAGCAAGGCAAAAGCGCAAGTCGGTTGTCAAAAGAATCCAACAGTTGATGGAAAAATCTGACCAGCTTCACGAAAACATCAATCAGCTAAGACTTAAATATAATTAATAATAGCAAGAATGTATTTTGATTTATTTCCAGAAATATAAGAACAGGGAGCAAGTTTGCTTGACTTACAGACATAGCTAACAGTGTTTTTTCCTAAACAATTCTATGTTGGATCACAATCTCAGAATATTGGAGCAATCTACCGATATTTCACCTCAAGAAAAATAAATATTAATGTCCTGTGTTCAGTGTAGTTTATATATAACTGTTCATGTTCTACTTTTGTTTACATGATAATATACAAATATGTAAGTTAATGTACAATGCCAAAAAACATCTTTTTGAACTTCCCACCTATAAGATCAGATACTATTTTCAGGTGTTAAATCTTCTTGCGAGGATGTCCCAACAGCACGTGTTGCTGGCTCGAGTACCAGATACTGTATATTAAAAATACATAGTGAAAATATATTTTTCTGTTGTAATAAGTACCTGCAGATTATTATAATACTATATTAGTTATTATTTTTAGTTGTGGTAGGTGTAGTTTTGCCCTAAACAAATGAGAACAGTATCATATTGACTCCTTCATTATATACTTATTTTCTATTATTATTTTATAGTAAGGCCTAGTAGTCTACGCAACGTTCATTCATTCATTCCAGTCAAACGGTTTTCTTTCCCACAAATATTGCCATTCAGTAATACAATCAATTATTGTACTTTTGGTTAAATGTTGGTACCAGAAAAAATACAAGAGGTAAATACTATTTCAATGAATTATGTGCAATTTAAAGGCTGCTTCCTAGCCAGCATTGGTCCTGCCATATATATATATATATATAGACATATTTACATGTACGAGAGGGAGCTTACACACTACTGCTCCAGAGGGCACGACACGCTTCACAAGTGCTGCCCGACCTACACACTTACATTTACCTCAACTATAGGACAAAGATCTTGTTGCTGCTTTACTATTATGTATTTTTACAAGTGAAATTTGTACTGTTCATGTATATACGGAATTCAATCAAAGTCGAAGCTTTTATGTTATCATAATTTACTAGGTATGAATCACGATTCATGCATACTAATTTGCATATATGCTTACAAGTTTTGTTCACGAGTATAAAATGACCAGGCTTTAGCTGAACAGGCAACACGAAACATAGGTGGAAGTGGAGAAATGTTAGTGAGAATGATCACTAGTAAATATATTCATTAACTGATGCCATTATTTACAAATATTAAGTACTGACAAAAATACTGACTGTACATTTCAGTAAAGAAAGAGCCATAGATGAGCTATGGATGTAGTTAACAGAATCAGTACACGTGACGCGTGCGATATATGTAAGACAGTGGGAGGCCAAGAGAATGTGAAGCAAATTATAAATATGAATCAATTTATGTGCATAATGGTTGTGGAGGGTGTTATTCAATATGTAATACAGCTACATGCATTGCCTGTAATACAGTACATGTATGCATTATTCAGTAATGCATACAACAAAAACAACAATTGTTATGTATGTAGCAAATTCATCTGTGTGAATAACTTGGCATCAGCTCTCTGTGCATCACTCGAATACTGTATCAAGTTATGTCGAGTGAAGGCTTTTGGTATAATTTATAATGACAAATGAATATGAATTTGCTTTTTACGTTATTAATATTTGAGCGCCAATGACATATTTCATAAAACTACATACTATATATATATGCCAGACAATTGCCTATAAATCAGAAATTTGAGAGGAAGTACAGCACTGATTTATTCCATGAAGAAGATGCAAACTTTTGACCTTGCGTGAACAGTCTTCTCACCTGAAGAGTACCACCGAGAAGTAGTAGTTAAATACATTGTATTCTTTCATGAAGCTAATTTAAGTTTTTGTAAAAAAATTGTCATTCTATTCAAGCAAAGTAAGAGCCAGGTGTAGCGTATTTAAAAAAAAAATATGTAAATGTTTTACAGAACACTTCAGTATTCATGTAAGCAGAACATTATAATGTAAATTTTGCTCAAAATATTAAGGTATTTTTTCATAAGTTTTGTTTTGCATGAATGATGCAGAATATAAAATTACAGTACATTTTATTAATAATTAAATATAAATGTCATGTAGGTAAAATTGTGAGATATCTTTCCGAGGTGTGTTAGTAAATAGGACGACAGGAGTGTCAGACAAGATATCAAGTGAGTGAATGTGAGAGTTTCACTTTCGGGTCTACCGATTCTTGCTACAGTTATTGGTGTATTACTCCATTAGTTATTAGCGGCAAGCTTGAGCGCAACTCCATTGTCTCCTGAGACTGATGGATGCCTACTACTCCCCTCAAGCTCGAGCTTGCCACTAATACCCTCAAAACCACCACTGCTGAATACTTCATAAAAAAAATGAAATAAAAGGTAAATTGAACCAATTATTATTTAGTACAAGGCATGCAGGTTTCTTCCTGAAGTAAATGATTATGTACTGTATCTGATGCATTTATAAGAGGGTCAATGACTAAGACTTGGATTTTACTGTAAAAGTCTACCTCTGGCTTATAGGTAAATTGACTTGAGCATATATATAGTATGTCCATTCTTTTCTGGTCAGTTACATTTATATTACAGTATTTTGTTTTAATGCTACTTATATATATATATTATTCTATATATATCATTAATGCTATTCGTGTGTATGGTATTACTCTACAGTATGTCAATAATGCTAATTTCGTGTGTGGTATTACAGGAGATCCTCATTATACAAATACTCGTCTATCCGAACAGCCTCCCACATCCCTGATTTTGTATCTCAATCCACTAGATAAATATAAATCAATCAAAATGTTCACATGACTCACTAGTTTCATGCTGTAGCCCACATTACCCCAGTCAACAGTACGGTGATTACTCTCATAAAGAGAGAAGGGGCGCATCCGATCCCACGATCGTCGTCACCCCTAAATCAACAACAACTCTCATAAAGAGCTAATCCTTTACTCTCAAAGTTCTAATAGAGCAAGGTATTTCCACATGTAAGTGCCGGTACAATTAGTGTCGGCAGCAAATTAACTGTATTGTTGTTTACCTAAATGTTTGCCATCCACAGCCATTGGGTTTATGATCCTTATTGTTATTCCTTGATGTATTCCCCTGCCATTGCTGTTGGATAGCAGGCATAGGGAAAAAAAAGGCAGGCATTCTCAGTCAGTTAGGCAATCTCAGTAAGACATGGAGCCGAGTTAGGCAATCTCAGTAAGACATGGAGCCGAGTTAGGCAATCTCAGCAAGGCATTATAGGAGTTGCCTCGTATGGGTCAATAGGCCTTCTACAGTCACCTTTATTCTTATGTTCTTATGTTCATAGAGTTTTATCAGGCAGTCACAGTCAGTCTCGGTCATTATTCCACACCTAAGAGTCCACCCCAGGAAATGGTTGAGGGGATGGGGATGGGGATGGGTGGGTGTTAGTTGTGGGTACCAGTAGTCTTTATGAGAGTGAAGTTTCCGAGATGATAACGTTAAGAGTGGTGGTTCTCAGAAGTCCTCATTGACCCCCCAAACTCTTATGATTTGAACGAGACCAGATGGTGTTTACTCTGCTGGTTGGGTGGGGGTTTGTGGGTTGGTGGTTGGTAGGAGGAGGAAGAGGTTTGTTTTCTTGTGCATTGAATTAACAAATGGTTGACCCCCAGTACAGCAGCACATGCGTGTATTTTCATTTATTTATTCATGTAATTAGACCTCTGCACTCTTCAAAAATAGCTAACTTTGATAACTTGAATGATGGAGTTACCCAGCTTAATAATAGGATGTGTTTTTTGTATTTCCCAAAAATACTGATCTGTGAGGATTTTTGGTGATCCGGGAACGCAAACACCCAACTCATAGCATTGCGCATATAAGAAATCTATTCCCGCATTCAGAATAAATGTGTTAGGAATGCATTTTGTGAACATAACCCGTTTGTAGTAGGGGAGACTGCCTATACTCTGTACAGTATGTCACTAATGCTACTTGCGTGTATGGTATTATTCTGTATTTCATCCAAGAATGTCTTATATAAGTGATACTGATAGTACATTTTACCTTTAAATTGGGGTATAGTTGCATTTTTATTTTTATCTGATACTTCATTTTTAAAACCAAAGAATAACATTTACACCTTTGTGAAGGAATTAGGCATGTTTGGTTAGTTGTTTCACATGCGAGTTCTTATCTACACTGTTTTTGCAATGGAAATATTAGACTTTTTTGAGGCAGATTCAAAAATGATTTTGAATTCAGATTCAGAAATGAGGCAGATTTGGAGAGCATGGAATCTCTCATTCCCTTCTCCCCTCCGCAGTTTTGACACGGTTGATCATTAGGAAAGTAATTGAATAAATAAGGTAAGATTATGTAAAGGAAATACAGATGCAGGATAAAATTGGCCGAATTGACATGGTAAAATAATTTAGCATTTGATATTTTTTTTAGTTATATTTATCACCAGGTTGTGGCTTATAATTTTTGTATCTAAATGACTGTTAATTAGTCAAGCTGAGGTTAGGTGACTTGGCTGTAGTCTACATTATAACTAATATTCACTTTTAATAATGTTTTCTTTTGAAAAATGTTTACATTCACATTAGTCAAAACTCTTTGTACCCAAATTTTTCTGTTAATGAAAGCGATTGCAACAAAGGATACTCTGGTATATTATATAATTTGATGTTTTGCAAGGATACCAAAAATTATAGTTTTTGGTTTAAACCCAAGAAAACAGTGGGTAAGAATGCAACCTTTAATAGGCTGCTTGAGCTGTTTTCTGAAGAAGTAATTAATAACTGAAAAAAACAATGTAATTGTACTAATTGTTCATTAAGTACACCCTTAACTGTGTCAAGACTTATTTTGTATGATCAAGATATTTTTCCCAATAACCTTGTGGTATCAGCAATTTACTTGATAGAAAATATTTATTTCTATATTCAAGGGTTCAGGTAGTACAGTCGGGTTCGTTCTCGACGCACAATCGAGAATTTCGGGTTAGAATTCCAGGCGGGACAGAAATGGCGGGGCACATTTCCTTTCACCTAATGCCTCTGCTCATCCAGCAGTGCGTAGGTACTCAGGAGTTAGTCAGCTTGTTGTGGGTTTGCATCCTGGGCAGGGTCAGTAATTCGGTCTTGGGGGAGGGGAGGGGAGGGGGGCCCTCGATGAAAGCCAAAACATGTGTGATTACACACTGGCTTCCTGTCCCCCGACACAATGAATTATTATTGTTATTATTTAATAATACAGTTGGTGAACATCTTTAATCTCCTACACTTAATTTGATGGAACACATTCCCTAATCTTCTGTAGCCTCTAATTCAACCACCCTCAACTGAACCGAGTGTGCTGCCTCAGCCAGAGGTGCTCCACATACCACAGTTCAGTGCTCATAACTCGTGCACGTATTTTCATCAGTTTGCAAGTAGAGACTTTGATGGGTGTTGGTAAGCAAGATGTATTTTTCAATCTTTTTTGCTGGTATATTTTTGTGAATGAACTATTATTTAGATTGTTTACCATCCTGTATTTGTTGGTGAACATTGTCATGCCACATTTCCTCACTCTTGACAGACGGGGTTGGGAATGTTAACTAATTTATGAGGCCGGGAGAAGGGACGAGTTATTCCTTTGATAGGCAATGTCACTATCATGGGAGGTCACTATCAACGGGAGCTGGTCGGGTGAGTGGACAGCACGCTGGACTTGTGAGCCTGTGGTCCCGGGTTCAATCCCGGGCGCCGGCGAGAAACAATGGGCAGAGTTTCTTTCACCCTATGCCCCTGTTACCTAGCAGTAAATAGGTACCTGAGTGTTAGTCAGCTGTCAAGGGCTGCTTCTTGGGGGTGGAGGCCCTGGTCGAGAACTGGGCCACGGGGACACTAAGCCCTGAAATCATCTCAAGATAACCAAGATCATGTACACTATTTTGGTACAAAGAGTTTTCACTGGATGTTTTCAATGTTATAAAATTCATGTTAAATTAGATATTTGTCATTTGACCAGTTTATATAAATACTCTATACTATATAAGTGTATTAGAGCTACAAAATTATTTGTTTGCACTTTATGCTATTAAAATTTCAAGAATACCTAAAACCTGTACAGTATTAATATTATCTGTGTGACTAAATTATATTCTGCATTTTGACACCTTCACAAAGTGTATCAGGTGGTGTTCAATGACTTATTGGTGTTCATATCTGTGTTTGTGTCGATATATTACAATATTATGTGTATTCATTATTACAATACAGTATTATGTGTATTTATTTTTCACATACATATTCAACATACAGATACTGTGCATTGTTGTTTCACTCAGGTCATTTTGTTCTGTGGCCTTTTGTTGCAGAAAAATAACAACAGTTTTATTGTTGTTGATACAATCAAAGGTATCGCCAGATCGATATTTGTGTTGCATTCTGATTTTCGTCGAGCCGAGTCTCGTTCATTTGAAACATCACTGTATCTATATGTATATTTAATTTTTATGCATAGTCCAACATCATGGCAAATGCATAAAAACTTCCAGATATACTGTGCCAATCAGATGACACTCTTACTGTTTAAAATGTATTTTTATATATACAGTATATAATGCCATGTATAAACATTTACAGTATAGCCACTCTATGTATATAAATAAGATCTGCATTTCTAAACATGAAAAAGATTAACCAAAGCTTAAATACATTTTAGCCATTTAGAAAACTAATTCAAAATGTCTATAACCGAGACAAAGTGTTCCATCAGCATGTAAAGAACGAGTGTTTGTGTGTACAAAGTGTCATGTAGGTTGGTAATTTCTGAGCAGGTAAAAAAAAACGGCAGCTTGGGCTCACTGAAGAATGAATGATCATATAAATACACCATGTGTGTTATAAATGGTGTATGAATTTTGCAAACATTTGTGTACATACGTGAAATTTGCTTAAATTGTTAATATTGTCTGTTTCACAGCGTTAATGCTATTTTGGCCATTTTTTTCCTTCTTCAAAAATTAAGAAGTCTGAGAAATTACAAATTTCCTGTTGATTTGTATCGCTCAGGTTTTTTTCCGACATTCAGGTGGTGCCAACTGCTGCCAGTCAGTGGTGCCAACTGCTGCCAGTCAGTGGTGCCAACTGCTGCCAGTCAGTGGTGCCAACTGCTGCCAGTCAGTGGTGCCACCTACAAGTAATTATCCTTTCTTGTATTGGTGAACTAGCTAATGATTAGCACTATTGGGTGGACACACACCTAAAGAGGAAAAGTTCATTGATACTGTACTTGTATCTGTGGCCAGCCTCACTGGCTTTATTACAACTTATAAATAATGGGTTTCCTTATGAACTGACATTGCTGGCTGTCATGAAACTTGAAAATGCTGGCTATCTTGCATCATAACATTTGATAAGTCTCCTAAAACCTGACATTGCTGGCAATCCTACAGCATGAAAATGCTGTTTACCCTACAACTTAATATTGCTTGTTATCCTACAACCAATATTGCTTGTTATCCTACAACCTTGACATTGCTGGATGCCTTACAATGTGACCTTTCTGACTTTTGTGATAAAACCTGGTTTCCCTTCAGCCTTACTTGGTAGGCTTTCTTACAACCTCGTCCTGCTGGCTTCTTTACCAACTTGCCTATAGTCTGGCCGCGTTATTAGTAATAGTCCAACATAATCAAAACTCGGTGTATAAGCTGCTATAGTTTGTAGTATTAATCGAGGTGTGCAAGAAAGCAAGTTACTCATGACAAGTATGTGACTGAAAATTCTATATAACCAAAGTGGATTATTTTTTTTTTTTTTTTGAGACTGATGAATTTCAAGCGTAAATTACACTTATCATTTTTATAAAGCTGCCTTTGTAAAAAGAGCATCTTTGCTTCAGATACTGCTATTGGCATAGCTTATTATTATATCAGTTCTGTCAACTTTTAGGATAAAGCAGCTAGGTGCATCTCTTTGTTTTAATGCAAAATGTGATATTCAGATAGGATGTCAAAAATGTAATTGCATTATTGCAATTTTCAAGGGTAAACACAACAAAATGTAGTACAAATCAATTATTCACTGATATGTCCATCAAATAATTAGTTTTTGTCCGTGCCCAGATAAGAAGGTTGTAAATGAACAAATCCACAAGGGCCGTGACGAGGGTTCGAACCTATGTCCGAGAGGATCCCAGACGCTGCCTTAATCGACTGAGCTACGATATGGTTTTAACCATGCCGTAGCTTAGTTGATTAAGGCAGCGTCTGGGATCCTCTCGGACGTAGGTTCTAACCCTCAACACGGCCCTTGTGGATTTGTTCATTTGATGCATCACGCTATTGTGATTTCTGTGTGTAAAGAAGATTGTAAATGACAGATGTTATGGTTATTAAGGAACGTGTCCCTGTGTTGTAAAAAGGGAATCACTTTCTCTGGAAACGTTAATGAATTGTCTATTAGAAATAATGAAAATACTTTGCTATTTTTATGTATGAAAATATTTATAAATCAATTTGAATTAAACACTTTTTAGGTAATGACTTTGAAACATTCATTGTAATTTGTTTGCAGAACTGACATATAGGAGTCTGTGGCGGGATGAGACACACTGATCACATAATGTACTAAAGTGTACATTAATTATTATTGCAGCATTATTATTTTCTGTACTGTATTAAAAAAAAAAAGGGGGTCAACCAAATCTTTGAACAATATTCTTGTCCTTGTAATAGGCTCGTCAAGGCCGCCTGGTCATAACTAACGATGCCTGATGCCGCTTAGATTTTCAGAGTAAAATGTTACAATTTAATTTCTTATAACCCAACACTGACATGAAATGAACGTATTAATGTTTTGGTCTGTTTTGGACCCGTATCAAGTCCAGAAATGGACAGGCCAAATGGACTTCATTATGGTCCAGGACAGGCCAAATGCTGGTACGGTTTTCTCGTGTGTAGGGGGGGTAGGGGGGTGTAGTGTTATTTATTTCAGCTACATTATTGCAACATTTGCTGTACCGAATTTCATTTTTGTTTTTACTTTGTGACACGAATATTGATGTGAGGGAAGCAGTGCAAGCAAATGTTTTCTAAATGATTTGGAGAATTTTTTATATAAAGGAAAATGATGACCAAACCACACAACAGAAGATGGAGAAACGACGACGTTTCAGTCCGTCCTGGATCATAATCAAGTCTACGTGATAATTGTCCTGGACGGACCGAAACGTTGTCTTTTTTCCATCTTCTATTGTGTGGTTTGATAATCATATCCTCGGCCACGTTATTGTGACTCACGTCTGCATAAAGGAATACAATATATCGATTTATTGTGAGATACATAAATGTAAATAGTATAGAAGGTCAGTTACCACCTTATTATCTTAAATTATCTTTAAAAATAACAATACTTTTCCATTTTTCCTTGGAAGGTAGGAAATGGGGTAGTGATAAATACAATTTGATGAAGTTTATAATGTTCTGTTAGTTTTAGTGTTTAATAACTAATCAAAATATAATTACCATCTATTCTGCAATCTCCTACCGAAATAGAATTTTCTCCTCGCCAAAAAAGATAAGTTTATAGTTGAGAGTCTTACTGCTGTAAGAAAGTGGGAGAGATAACAAAAGTGTAGGTGAAGCATATTATGGGAGACTACAAATCTAAGAGTGCATTTATAATACTAATGTATAAAATCATTTGTAGAGCAAGAATGAAAAACTATTGTAACTTCCAAATTATACAATTCTTTTATCATGGTGATGCTTTCTTGGATGGTGTTGGCTCATAGGCATGTGTGGTGTGTGTGATACCTGCTTGATGGGGTTCTGGGAGTAGTTCTACTCCCTAAGCCCGGCCTGAGGCCAGGCTTGGTAAGGCATTACATACTCCACGTGGATCATTGGGAGGTTCTTGGATAATGTTATTTAATGGGTATACGAGGTGTGGATTATAAATACTACTCAGAACACTGAAGGTTTGATGACATGCGGTATATTTGTACTTCTGTATTGCTTAGTATTTTCACATGTAAAACATTCAAAATTGTGTTTTTACGAGGCTTACATTTAAGCCAAAATTAAACAAAAAGTACAGTACAGTATAATAGTTATGTCCAATGTCTTTTTTTGGGAAAAGTAAGCAAATTTGTAATAAATTACTGTATATATCAAAGGCTAATAATGTTTACAGTCTGAATTTACAACAATTATATACAGGTACTGTATAATTTATTTTCGACTGGTAATGTGTGCTATCCATAGGCCATATAAAATTCAGGAAATTTACAGCAGAATGACAAAAGTTTTCAAGTTCAAGAACAATAAAATGGAAGAAAAATGAGAAAATAAGCTACGAGAAAGTTGATGGTAGAATGCTGACGGTGCTACAACGAGCGAATGGGGCCAAAAAGTACAAGTGTCGGTGGAGAAAGAGCTTCCCGATGTATTGCGTCCACAGAGGCAATACTGACTAGTCTTCTAATTTGAAAGTCAAGTTTCTACCAAATTGTATGTTTGATGTTTTCTAAAAGGTCAAAATATTTTAGAGCTTTCTAGATTATCTACAACACAATGGTAAAGATGTATCTGAAACAAAAATATTTATGAATTTTGTATGAAAATGATTTTTAATTTCTAGTACAGTACAGGCCAAATATGAACAGATTTTCCATAAGGAAATGTGCATGTATTTTATTTTAATTTACTTAATATTTTCTAGAAATTTAAATTGTGTGGCTAAAGGCTACTAATTGTTTTGATCCTAAGAATTTTGGATAAGGATGTACATCAAGGCCTAGTGGTATTGTGTAACATAAATACATATGTAGGACAATAACTATTAGGCAGAGCAAAGAATCCTTGTTCATATATTTAGCATGCAGGATTTTGCTAACAAAAATTTATATATATAGACTTGTTCAAAAGTTAATGAAAATAATGACTTATAAAATAGTTTTTTCTTTATCCTGGTTTGCAAAGTTTGAAAAGGAAAAATGATGCACATGTAATTTTTGTCAAATCATGGCTGTCTTCATATCCAATCTTTGTCATTCTATTTACAAGCCGGTCTAAGGCAATGAATGGCATATCACTATTCCCTCTCCGAGCACATTTGTTTTGCCTTGAAGGCATTCAGCTTGTAAGTGACAGTAAAGTGTGACTTATATTGGTCCCCCAAAATGATCAGTACCTTAAAGTAGTGAGGAGCTACCAATGCTACCTGTATGTAGCATTATGTATGCTACCCTTGCATACCAATGAATGAATGAAATGCATTAATGTATGTACTGGCCCATAAGCGCCTGGTATTTATATCCAGTGAAATTCATTCATACAAGCCTGGGTGGATATAAATAGGAGCTGCCTTGTATGGGTCAATAGGTCTTCTATAGCTCCTATATGTTGAAATGATTGGTTAACCTGCTATACTTAATTACAACTGTATATAGTTGTGAAAACCATATGAACATAATTGGTATACATAATGTGTAATTATAATGGAATTTTATACCATGACAATTACTGCATTGGCATAATAACATTTACAACGATAGCTGCATTTACATAGTAAGTAATCTTTAAGTGATAGCAGGATTTATTTCATTGACCCAGGTAAATTCCAATATATCATACAGAGCATATATATCATTACATATTAGCATCATTGGTAAAAAAAACTGACAATAATAGTTTAAATCAACATATGCTGATAACTGCATAACCCTGTGAATCAACACAACTGCACTCCGAGGGTTAAAGCTGATCTTTTCCTTGGCCGTCGTCCTTCCACCATAACAGGTGATGGGTGAGGGCTTTAGATAGTTTGCAAATCAATCACACCCACTTAACTCACGGTCACTTAATATTAAGATGTCCTGCTCCCTTTTGTCCAAACTGCATTATCCCACTTAGTCATGCGAGACAAAAAATTTCCCAAACACCCGTGAAAATGCCCAATAAAAACTCTAAAGATGTCCAATTGTCTGCGGGTATACACAAGTGAAGGCACGTGTTGGTAGAGTGTATGCTGTGCAGGTGCATATTTGCACAGGTGTGCTTGTTAGTTTTTACATTGTCTATCAAGTGACATCTGCGTCTTAGCCTGTTTCAGAGCTATTGGTACTTGGTGCTTTTACGTCTCTTGACGTTCTAGTTGTCTATTGTAATTACTCTTGAAACGGAACGGAAGTGGTATCAACAACTACAGTACTTCATTTAAATTTGTTACCCCATGTACTACATTGGTAAGTACTGTACATATAGTAGAATTTAGACTAATACCAAGCATGGGATTGTATATGCTGTAAATATCAACATCAATTTCATTTTCTTGGATCACCGCAGATTTGAACTCGGATGTCAGAAAGGTACCAAGTTTGAATCTGATGATGCAAACAAGTAAAATGTTATTACTTATACTATTGTGGACTGCATCGTAGAGTACTTAGTACTCCAAGTACATAGTACTACTTACTTAGTACTATAAGTACGTAGCGTACTTAAAATTAAATACAGTATTTAACTGAAAAAAATCCTTAGGAATAATTGGGGGGGGGGGGGAGTCTTTGACAAGCCACCGATATCATATTCCCACTGATGCTACGTCAGATGGTGGCCCTTGGTTGAATTCGGGTAAAACCTGACTTGTCTATTCTTCACAGTGTATTTATACATTCTGACCACATCTTCCCTGGCCTGCTAGGGATATTCAGTTAACCTGTGTTCATCGCTTTTACCCACAGCCTATGTTACAGCACAAATTGTGTCTGATATACATAATGGTAAAGTTAAAACAGCTTTCTGCTTTTTGCATTTAGAGGATCACCATAATCAAGTTGTAGATACAGTACATATTATAGTTTTGTATACCTTGTATACAATGCCATCAAACAAATTAGTGGTTTCCAGTCACAGTTGACACAAGGACATTGCAAACACAGCAGAGTATTGGAAAACAAATTATTATTGCACATTTTGAGCAATGATTACCGTATGGGGAAAATAGCTGAATACAAAATGGTTGACAGCCATACCTGATGCTGACAAGTAAATGACCATCAACTGAATACTTCATTGTTGGACTTATTTTTCTGTCCAAGTGTCGCAAACTTATGCTCTGCTGAACGAAGGCGATCTTCTACCTCGATTATCCTGGACAAAACAAATGACAACCTTAAGAAAATGACTGAAAAACAATCTAATGCTAATTAGATCTAATCACTAAATAAAAAACGAAACAATAATTCACAGGTGAATTATTTAAAGTGAGTATGGACAGTAAATCGAGCAAATAATTTGACAAGCATTAAATATGAAGTTGTTTAGCCTTACCAGATTCGTACAAACCAAGGCAAACACATTCGACTTAAGGTCGATGGACATTAATTAGTCCGAGGAACCATCACTTCCACAGTGCTTGTAATTTGACTAAAGTGCTGAATTTGTACAATGGTTGATAGCATCCAAACTGTTGCTCATTAAGTGTGAGGACAGGTGGTTAAATCAAGAATGCAAGACATCTATGACGACAGGAGCCAGTCGGCCGGGCGGACAGCACACTAGACTTGTGATCCTGTGGTCCTGGGTTCGATCCCAGGCGCCGGCGAGAAACAACGGGCAGAGTTTCTTTCATCCTATGCCCCTGTTACCTAGCAGTACAATAGGTACCTGGGTGTTAGTCAGCTGTCACGGGCTGCTTCCTGGGGGTGGAGGCCTGGTCGAGGACTGGGCCGCGGGGACACTAAAAAGCCCCAAAATCATCTCAAGATAACTCAAGATAACAAGATATGACAGTGTGTTAAATGTAGTGCGCTAGACACCTTTGAGGACAGATTGTTAAATCGAGAGTGCTAGACGTGTACTGTACCTGTCTTTGTACTGTGAGGCAACATTCTGGACAACAGCTAGGTTGGTGTTTGCTTCATGGAGGGAATGAACCATTTGTCGATTTTTTTCTCGACATTCTTCTATGCACCGAGTGAGTTCCGATATTCTCTCTTCATATTCCAATTTCTGGGCAGAAGCATGAGACTGTAACCTGTAATTAGTTGTATTGTATGCCATTACAGTGCTATTTCATACACATGAAGTATACATCATGACAGTTTAACCCTTGAAATGCACATCACTCATGACATTTGTGTTCCGATGATGCTAAAATGCACCATCTGAATGGTGCTTATAAACATTCAAAATATTCATTGCTGTTTTGCATAATCTATTATAAATACACTTTTGTTTTTGCATCTATTCCCTAGAGAGTTAGTTCATTAGTGAACCTATTAACACTTTGGTGGTCCTGCGCCTCCGAGTATTTCCGACCGTAAAATTTCTAGTCTCTTAGAGCGCCGAGTAACGAGTGGCTCAACAAGCCACTCGGCAAAGCGTAAAATGTTTACATTTATTTTAAGTATTCTCAGTTATTTGTTGGGTTACAACAAATTTGGTATTAAAATGTTTGCAAATTAATTGTCTAGAGAACAGATGCAAAAACGAGAGTGTATTTATAACAGATTCTGGTCCGCTTTGCGTGTTCCGAATGTAAATTTGGCATTCTCAGCGATGCTTAAAATGTTTACAATAATTTTACATTTTCTCAGTTTTTTGTTGGGTTTTACTCATGTACATTCAAGATATGATAAGGAATCATCCAGTGCCATCTTGAGTAAGCCATTGGAATTATTTACCTATACTGTACAAATAAACAGTGGTGTGTACATATTTTATGTTGCTTCCAATTTTTTTAATTGAACTAATAATTTTTTTATAAATATTCATTCTTCAGCTTCATCAAAGATCTTAATTGCTAATTGTTTACCGAGCACTTTTTCACAACCACTGCATGGGAGGAATGTGTATCATATTACACACATTAAGGCAAGCCTTAATTTACGTCACTCGGGAAGCAGCAAGAGAAGGTAATAGAGAAGGTAATAACCAAAGAGCCAGAGCTCAACCCCCCCAACAAGCACAACTAGGCGAGCACCAGTTCTAAAGACAGAATTCTAAAAATTGCTTTCTGGCTCCTATGTAAAGCAAGAAATTTTGTTTTGTATTCCCAAAATCAATTACTGGAGCACAACTATTGATGGTATTGCATCTAAATCATTAAATTAAAGATCCTTTTCATCAATTCTACAAGGAACTTCACTTAATCCAATTTTTATTTTAAATACTGAACTATATTGTACATCTATTAATCCTTCATGTATTTAACAAGGTTAATTTGATATGTTTATTAAAAAATCCAGCTTATATATTATATTGACAAATATGCCATAGACCACGTAATACAAGATGCTTTTCCCACAATTAGGGATAAATTTATAAATTCTTTCCCAAAGGTTTTCAGCATCTGACAAATTTATTTATGATCGTGTACATTACCACATTTCCTGCCATTTGATATACCCCAGCATCTGTAGCACAGTGGACTACATCATCGGCTCATAATAGAAGGACCTGGGTTCAAGTCCCCGAGCAGGGCAGACACAGATGTGCACATTTTTTTTTCACCTGATGCTCCTGTTCATCAAGCAGCACATTAGTATCTGGATGTACTCACCTAGTTGTGCTTGCAGAGGTCGAGCTTTGGCTCTTTGGTCCTGCCTCTCAACCGTCAATCAACTGGCGTACAGATTCCTGAACCTACTGGACTATCATATCTATATTTGAAACTGTGCATGAAGTCTGCCTCCACCACATCACTGCCTAATGCATTCCATCTATTAATTACTCTGACACTGAAAAAATTCTTTCTAATGTTCCTGTGGCTCATTTGGGTACTCAGTCTCCACCTGTGTCCCCTTATTCGCATACCACCCGTGTTAAACACTATCTTTATCTACCCTGTCAATTCCTCTGAGAATTTTAGAAGTAATCTTAGGCAGTTGTGTAGTTGCATCCAGAGAGAGGTCAATAGGTGACCTCAGGGTAAGGATAACCCTAAGTACAAGCTTCCTGTTTCAGACACCAGGCAATTATTTACTATCACATATTTATAGGGGCTTTAAAGAGACAAACTAAGGATCATCATGATAAGATTCATCAACTTTTAACCTCTTCAAGGAGACAGACAGATGACATATATAATTCAGATTCAAAATAATAGAATAATTTTTACTTACTTGGAAAAGTTCATCTGAATAGCTGAATTATTCTCATACAGCTGCGCAACAATTTCTCTGTGAGCAGCGTCGGCAGCCTCCAGACGAGCCTCACTCCTCGATAAACACTCTTCAACTTCCTCCGTTTTCACTCTTTATACATACAACAAAAACCACTTTAAATGCTCTTTTAATACCATTGTAAATAGTATGGTCAGGATAGTATAGTCAAGATAGTATGGTTAGCAAAGTGTGGTCTGAAGAGTATGATTAGAATAGTGTGGGTTAGGATAATGTGGTGAGAATAGTATGACGAGAATAGTATGACTAAGAGTGCTAAGAACATACAGTAGTATGGATAGTGAAACCAGCGACGCAACCACTACACGAGTATCAAGGCTGCCTCCAGTTGGCAGCTCTGCCAATTAGAGGGTTGGAGGACACCACCTTGATCTCTCTCTCTCCTAAGCTGTATGGGTGGACTGGTTTTAAAGGGCAGAAATAATTAACTGCTGAGGTGCCAAGGGGCATTTCATTACCCCTTAATGCTCCTTTTCTTGTGGTAAGTCCCTTTGGTAGCTTCCCCAGCTTCCTTCTCATGGTGCTAATGAAAAGTTCCTGGAGAAGAGACAACAGTAACTTGAAGCGAGTTTTTCCGAAGAAACTAGCAGTCAGGAGCAGAAACCTCAGGGTCTAGCTGGCTGTGATCATCACCATACTATTAATTATCCCAGGTCATGCAGCATTACTGAAGGCAAGAAAGGTCTGGAAGGTATTTTGGGCTGGCACCAAATTAGACCTCGAGAAGCCCTCATGCCCTGATGCTTACTATGGATATGACGAAAGAAGGCCAGCAAGGCCCAGTATTTTCTCAAATCATGGGGTCAGTGGTCAACACATGGCTAGCCGAGCTTAAACCACTTGCATCATAATCTATGACAGACAGGCTTGTGTGTAAGCATAGTGAGAGGATTAAGATTATAAAGGAAACGAGGCAACACTCCTGGTAGAGCACAAGTAACAAGTGTATGTGATAAATCTCTCGCACACAAATCATGTCTCTGTCACTAAAGCAAACCAGCACAGGTCCACAAGGAAATACTTAACAAGGATTGTAAAGAGCAGTCTACAGACTTAAACAATCTCTGACCATTTTATAAGGTTTCTAAAACCAGCCACTTGGGAGCTGCTTGACCTAATAACAATAAGAATATTCCTTACAGCTCAATACATATAAACATTTCAAGTTAATATGGAAAGGTAAAGTTCAAATATTACAGGCATACCACAACTTTTAATAATAATATATTAGTAATAATAATAATAATAATAACAATAATAACAATAATATTAGTAATACAGTACTGTAATAATAATACTGTACATGTGACAATGTCATCACCATCTGTTGAGCACACCCGACCGTCATCTGGTGGATGGCTGTGATCATATTGACACCTGTGTAGTTTCTTTCTTACTAATCAACATTTACTCCTCAGAAGTGATGTGGGTAGTACCTTGGTCGACAGGAATCGGTTCACCTAGGGCAGTCCTGAATTCAAGACGTGTTCCAGTGGAAACATGTGGCCGAGTCAGTGTAGACTGTGATTTGCCTGTGATACTTAGTGAAGTATTGGTGATTGGATTGATGTATCCCAGTCATGGCCAAGTTGAGTTACGAGATGGAATTAATGTCTGTCTGTTAAGGCTTGTTATAACGAAGCCTATGTGGAAGCCTGCCAGCATGTTTCAGGAGATCCTGCCAGCATGTTGCAGGAGAGTAAACTTGGCGTTTTGACACTGTGACGATACTGTAGAGGACTGGCTCATGATTTACTAAGAAAGGTGAACTCGCCGGAATGAGGACCATAAGAGAAACTCAGGAAGGGAATATTGAGTGGTGTACAATAGAAGATAGAAATGAACCCACCGGGAAAGAAGATTGCAGAAGTTCTTTTCTAGTGTCCTGTGTGAAAGTGACACCTGCTGTGTTATGTGTTTTATATATATATATATATATATATATTAGTATATTTTGGTAGCAGTCTTTCCTGTAGACATATTTTATTAAATATGACCGAAAAAGTAAGATTAATAATTCTAACACGAATTTTCTCAATCTTTCGTACATTATGCTTCACTGTTGGAGGTAAATCAAAAATCACTTCTCCAAAATTCATTTTTATTTCTAGTCTGACGCGACACGGGCGCGTTTCGTAAAACTTATTACATTTTCAAAGACTTCACAAATACACAACTGATTAGAACTTGCGTTTCCCTGATTTTATATCTACATTTGAGTGAGGTGGGAAGGGTGATGTGGCATTACATTTGAGTGAGGTGGGAAGGATGATGTGGCATTAGAGAATATTAATAGGGTATTAAAAGTATCAACACAAGACAGAACACGAAACAATGGATATTGAATAGAAGTGTTTGTAGAAAGCCTATTGGTCCATATTTCTTGATGCTTCTATATTGGAGCGGAGTCTTGAGGTGGGTAGAATATAGTTGTGCAATAATTGGCTGTTGATTGCTGGTGTTGACTTCTTGATGTGTAGTGCCTCGCAAACGTCAAGCCGCCTGCTATCGCTGTATCTATCGATGATTTCTGTGTTGTTTACTAGGATTTCTCTGGCGATGGTTTGGTTATGGGAAGAGATTATATGTTCCTTAATGGAGCCCTGTTGTTTATGCATCGTTAAACGCCTAGAAAGAGATGTTGTTGTCTTGCCTATATACTGGGTTTTTTGGAGCTTACAGTCCCCAAGTGGGCATTTGAAGGCATAGACGACGTTAGTCTCTTTTAAAGCGTTCTGTTTCGTGTCTGGAGAGTTTCTCATGAGTAGGCTGGCCGTTTTTTCTGGTTTTATAGTAAATCGTCAGTTGTATCCTCTGATTTTTGTCTGTAGGGATAACGTTTCTATTAACAATATCTTTCAGGACCCTTTCCTCTGTTTTATGAGCTGTGGAAAAGAAGTTCCTGTAAAATAGTCTAATAGGGGGTATAGGTGTTGTGTTAGTTGTCTCTTCGGAGGTTGCATGGCTTTTCACTTTCCTTCTTATGATGTCTTCGATGAAACCATTGGAGAAGCCGTTATTGACTAGAACCTGCCTTACCCTACAGAGTTCTTCGTCGACTTGCTTCCATTCTGAGCTGTGGCTGAGAGCACGGTCGACGTATGCGTTAACAACACTCCTCTTGTACCTGTCAGGGCAGTCGCTGTTGGCATTTAGGCACATTCCTATGTTTGTTTCCTTTGTGTAGACTGCAGTGTGGAAACCTCCGCCCTTTTCCATGACTGTTACATCTAGAAAAGGCAGCTTCCCATCCTTTTCCGTCTCGTAAGTGAAACGCAGCACGGAACTCTGTTCAAATGCCTCCTTCAGCTCCTGCAGATGTCTGACATCAGGTACCTGTGTAAAAATGTCGTCAACATACCTGCAGTATATGGCCGGTTTCAAGTTCATGTCAACTAAGACTTTTTGCTCGATGGTACCCATGTAGAAGTTTGCAAACAGGACACCTAGGGGAGAACCCTAGCAATCAACAGCCAATTATTGCACAACTATATTCTACCCACCTCAAGACTCCGCTCCAATATAGAAGCATCAAGAAATATGGACCAATAGGCTTTCTACAAACACTTCTATTCAATATCCATTGTTTCGTGTTCTGTCTTGTGTTGATACTTTTAATACCCTATTAATATTCTCTAATGCCACATCATCCTTCCCACCTCACTCAAATGTAATGCCACATCACCCTTCCCACCTCACTCAAATGTAGATATAAAATCAGGGAAACGCAAGTTCTAATCAGTTGTGTATTTGTGAAGTCTTTGAAAATGTAATAAGTTTTACGAAACGCGCCCGTGTCGCGTCAGACTAGAAATAAAAATGAATTTTGGAGAAGTGATTTTTGATTTACCTCCAACAGTGAAGCATAATGTACGAAAGATTGAGAAAATTCGTGTTAGAATTATTAATCTTACTTTTTCGGTCATATTTAATAAAATATATATATATATATATATATATATATATATATATGTCGTACCTAGTAGCCAGAACGCACTTCTCAGCCTACTATTCAAGGCCCGATTTGCCTAATAAGCCAAGTTTTCCTGAATTAATATATTTACTATAATTTTTTTCTTATGAAATGATAAAGCAACCCTTTTCTCTATGTATGAGGTCAATTTTTTTTTATTGGAGTTAAAATTAACGTAGATATATGACCGAACCTAACCAACCCTACCTAACCTAACCTAACTTATATTTATAGGTAAGGTTAGGTTAGGTAGCCCAAAAAAGCTAGGTTAGGTTAGGTTAGGTAGGTTAGGTAGACGAAAAATCATTAATTCATGAAAACTTGGCTTATTAGGCAAATCGGGCCTTGATTAGTAGGCTGAGAAGTGCGTTCTGGCTATTAGGTACGACATATATATATATATATATATATATATATATATATATATATATATATATATATATATATATATAATGTCGTACCTAGTAGCCAGAACTCACTTTTAGGCCTACTATTCAAGGCCCGATTTGCCTAATAAGCCAAGTTTTCCTGAATTAATATATTTTTTTCTAATTTCTTTCTTATGAAATGATAAAGCTACCCATTTCATTATGTATGAGGTCAATTTTTTTTTATTGGAGTTAAAATTAACGTGGATATATGACCGAACCTAACCAACCCTACCTAACCTAACCTAACCTATCTTTATAACCTATCTTTGGTTAGGTAGCCGAAAAAGTTAGGTTAGGTTAGGTTAGGTAGTCGAAAAAACAATTAATTCATGAAAACTTGGCTAATTAGGCAAATCGGGCCTTGCATAGTAGGCTGAGAAGTGCGTTCTGGCTACTAGGTACGACATTATATATATATATATATATATATATATATATATATATATATATATATATATATATATATTATTAAATATGACCGAAAAAGTAAGATTAATAATTCTAACACGAATTTTCTCAATCTTTCGTACATTACGCTTCACTGTTGGAGGTAAATCAAAAATCACTTCTCCAAAATTCATTTTTATTTCTAGTCTGACGCGACACGGGCGTGTTTCGTAAAACTTATTACATTTTCAAAGACTTCACAAATACACAACTGATTAGAACTTACGTATCTCTGCTATTATATCTACATTTGAGATATATATCTATATTCAGTATATATATATATCTATATTGAGATATATATCTACATATATCTATATTCTACCCACCTCAAGACTCCGCTCCAATATAGAAGCATCAAGAAATATGGACCAATAGGCTTTCTACAAACACTTCTATTCAATACCCATTGTTTCTGTTCTGTCTTGTGTTGATACTTTTAATACCCTATTAATATCCCCTCATGTTCTGTCTTGTGTTAATGCCACGTCACTATATGCCACATCATCCCTCCCACCTCACTCAAATGTAGATATAATAGCAGAGATACGTAAGTTCTAATCAGTTGTGTATTTGTGAAGTCTTTGAAAATGTAATAAGTTTTACGAAACGCGCCCGTGTCGCGTCAGACTAGAAATAAAAATGAATTTTGGAGAAGTGATTTTTGATTTACCTCCAACAGTGAAGCGTAATGTACGAAAGATTGAGAAAATTCGTGTTAGAATTATTAATCTTACTTTTTCGGTCATATTTAATAATATATGTCTACAGGAAAGACTGCTACCAAAATATACTAATTATATATATATATATATATATATATATATATATATATATATATATATATATATATATATATATATATATATATGCGAACAAGCCTGAATGGTCCCCAGGACATATGCAACTGAAAACTCACACCCCAGAAGTGACTCGAACCCATACTCCCAGAAGCAACGCATCTGGTATGTACAAGACGCCTTAATCCACTTGACCATCACGACCGGACAAAATGAGGTGATAGCCGAGGCTATTTGAACCACCCCACCGCCGGCACTCGGATAGTTATCTTGGGCATAGCATTTTACCAAATCACCTCATTCTTTGGGGCAACACGTGAGGAACACAAATGCGAACAAGCCTGAATGGTCCCCAGGACATATGCAACTGACGTGAGGAACACAAAAGTATTGTGTTCCTCACGTGTTGCCCCAAAGAATGAGGTGATTTGGTAAAATGCTATGCCCAAGATAACTATCCGAGTGCCGGCGGTGGGGTGGTTCAAATAGCCTCGGCTATCACCTCATTTTGTCCGGTCGTGATGGTCAAGTGGATTAAGGCGTCTTGTACATACCAGATGCGTTGCTTCTGGGAGTATGGGTTCGAGTCACTTCTGGGGTGTGAGTTTTCAGATTATATATATATATATATATATATATATATATATATATATATATATATATATATATATATATATATATATATATATATATATATATATATATATATATATATATAGAAAGTACACTTGGTGATGGTTCTGTTTAGTGTTGTTTACACGCTTTTCCTTTAGATTGATTATTACTGCCAGTTTTTGATAACTTACCTATGACTCGGGGTTGGATCAAGTAAGACGACACTGAAGCCCCATGTAGAGTTTGATATGAAAAGAACCTGGTTACTGCCTAAGTGAGGCCATAACAGTACAGGTAATAGTAATTTTGGCAAAATCACAAGGCATCCCCTGCCTGGGATATATATAGAAAACAGTTAACAAAACACTAACCTTAGCTGCATTTTCAAATATTTCTCAGTATTTTGAGTTTCCTCCTTAAATTTATCCAGCAGGGTTGAGATATAGTTATGATTTCTTTTCACCTCTTCATACTCAATTCTAAGTGCAGCACATTCCTCCCACGAGGCTGTTAGTCTTTCTTCCAACTCATGGATTCTAGTTAATAGTTCTTCTCTCTGCTGTTCATTTCTGTGAAAGGAATACATTTTACCCGAGTGTTTCCCAAATCACTAAAGCTATTACACTGTTGACATGCAATGTGTATAGCTGAAAAGGGAATGCCAGCAAGATACTTGTAACAATATGTTGGGATTTATACCTGGGGGCCAGGTACTGAAACTGGCTAGTTTATTCAGAGCTGTGTGTATGTGTATTATTTTCACAAGTATGGGTGTGTATTCTAGATGTTGTATGTGTGGCAAACAATAAGAAGCCTCTGATTACAAATCTTTTCCATGTTAAATATTTTGTGCACAAGCTGCCCTTTTAAAATGGTACCAACTGAATGAAACAAAATATAAGTTATACTCTATATATATATATATATGTAATATCTCAGAAGCTAAACTAATGACAAAACTTCAGCAAAGTTTCAAGGATAGGTAGGATATTCCTACCTAATATTCCAAGTCAAGGAATATTTCTCACGTGGTAAGTAAATGGAAATCATTTATTCTAGAAACAAGCACTATTGATGCACTGTCAAGTGTCAAAGTTATTAACCAATAGCATTAACAATGACCTAACTTTGAAGGTTCTTGGGACACTGACCTAATTTCATGCTACTTGTTGGAAAAAGTTGGCAATTTGTGTGGACGAGGTTAATTGCCAATTAATGAGGATCAATTTTATAAAAATGCCTATTTATACTAGAAAACTTGGGAAAATATTTATAGTCTGTTAATCCAGTGATTGCTTAACATTGGTAGAATAAAGGAGACAATAGGGTCAATCTACAGGCTGAAAAATAATGATGTTGGTTATTCACTTCAGTAAATGGCTGATCTCTGATGCCACATACTCCACCCCAGAGCAGCAAGACATTTGTACAAGATCCTTGATACCAGTTGGCAGGTATAGTCACCAGAGAGTCAAGAGAACCAGAAAATCTACAGCTTTAGTAGTGAAACTCCGTGGTGTAGTGGCAAGACACCCGCCTGGCGTTCCGCAAACGCTTTGTCATGGGTTCGTATCCTGGCCGGGGAGGATTTACTGGGCGCAAATCCTTAACTGTAGCCTCTGTTTAACTCAACAGTAAAATGGGTACTTGGTTGTAAAAAAGATTCTTCGCGGCAGGGATCGTATTCCAGGGACTTGCCTGAAACGCTATGCGTACAAGAATGTAACAACTTGTATATATCTTAAAAAAAAAATTTAGTGTATGTACTCTCATCTACGTATTACATGCACTTACTCCTGAACATTTTGTAGACCCACTGTGGATATTTTGCTCTTTTCTGCAGAGAGCAATACAAGTTTAACCTCCAAAGAGTTGATACGTTCCTGGAAGCGGAGAGTGTCTTGCTGCTGCTGCTCCTTTCTACGATTCAAATCATCTTGGGCCTGCTCAGCCTCTTTTGTAACCTTTTTCAGTTCTCGAAAGCACCGGTCACACTCCAGTTGCTTCTCGTTTAATGCCTGTAAATAGAGAAATTGAACAATTTTACATATACAGTACAGTACTTTGTAGCACCTGCTCTTTGTCAATATTTGTGCTTGTATTGCCTCTTGAATTTCAATGTAGTAACATTGAAAGTAGTCAATAGTAGTCGGTAGTACTACTGCCCTGAATTATTTTATATTATTGTAATTGCTTAGTGCTGTAATATGACTGACACACAGAAATCACAATAGCGTGATGCATCAAATGAACAAATCCACAAGGGCCGTGATGAGGATTTGAACCTGCGTCCGAGAGCATCCCAGACGCTGCCCTAATCGACTGAGCAACCAACATGGTGTAAAAGAAAAAAGAAAAAAGAAAAAAAAAAAAAAAAAAAAAAAAAAAAAAAAAAAAAGGAGTTGAAACCAAAGTTCTACTGAACTTACTGGATCCTGCAGCCTCTCTGAGACATCATCCCATGTTCAATATGACCGAGTTTGAAGTATTAACACACAGAAATAAATGTTAACACTAGACTGTAAGCATTTACACATGCTGGAAGACATAAATCTTTGAGTGCGTATGACAAACACTTTTTAAAAGTATTAGGTTTTATATGGCAATGGTCAGTCAAAAAAGTAAATAAACAACCAGGAGGTCCTAAAATCAATTTCGTCAGTAGGATACATGTTTGGGCATGTTTCCTTTCACTTGATGGCTCTGTTCACGTAGCATTCACTCAGGAATTAGGAAACTTTTGGGATTGCATCCTGAAAGGGAAAGGGAACTATCAGGGAAAGTGCCACGCCATTACGACTATACAGCACTTGGAAGGTGTCAGGATAAGGATTTGGGATGGGACGGAGGGAAGGAATGGTGGAAAAAGTCAGTAGTTGGCCTTGATAAACCTAACAGACTTCCTGTCTACAATACCGGCACAAGAGAAAATCATCTTGCCTTGGTGCATGCGGTCTGTGTGATGCTGCCGACCTGCCTTTCTCCAACTCCTTGCTACTTCCTTGAGTAAGTCCCTCTTAGGTTTATTTGAATGCACTCATTGATTCACACAATGAGGACTGGCCGAGAGGGCTTGCTCTGAAATGTCTCAAGTGGTTTGCAGTTACCTGGAGTTGCCAGTTAGAGGTCTCAATGACCATTTGGAGATACTGTAAGTGGTTTGAAATGTATTTTGATGTTATAGCAAGCAGTTTCCTTTGTTGGTGGACCGAGATGCTCTCCACTGTACTTCTGAACTACAGGACAAGGCCATTTGAATATTACTTCTCTCAGTGGAGTTCACATTCACATTTTCAGCGACATGGTGGGTCTACAATTCTCTCTCAGAGGAGTAACGAAGGTGCCATTATGAAAGGAAAACGACTTGCTGCTCTAGTTACTTCAGATTACAGTACTGTACATTATAACATACCACTTGATGAATATAATAATGCATACTTCACAGGACAAGTGTTGAGATGCCCTACACTAGAGGAAATTGCACTTATAGAATAGTTTTAAAAACTCACCATTTCAAGATCCATGACTTCCTGAGACATTTTTTGTATACTAATGTTATAGTCATCCTTTATTTTGGACACCTCTGCTTGAGCCTTTCTTCCAGCTTCTTCCGTGAGTGATGACACGGTCTTCTCCAAGCGACTCACTTCATCTGTGAATGCAGATCATCCACGATAAAAAGATTCATTTAGAAATAACGTACAAAGTATCATTCACTTCTCTCTTGTAGACTTGCAGTTTGAGAAAGTATTGAGGACTGCTGAACAATTACTGTACTTTAAATCTTTACCATATCTTTTCATGTCCTAATTTTGCTTATAAGTGAATCGGTTGTTACTTGCATTGAAACAAGAATGTTAATGGAATGAGGACAAAGAAAATAAAGAAAAGAACAGATGACTGAAGAACAGAAAAGAAGAGAGACATGAACAAGTAAGGGAAATGCAGAAAAACCAAAGATTGTGTACGTTCTCAGCAAGGACAATGTGAAGTTAGAGGAAAATAGAAGTACACAACACTGAATATACTGCAGTCCTCCATAAATGGACCTGTTTCTAACAGATGTTTCTACAAAAAAAAAAAAAAAAAAAAAAAAGAGGCAAAGTCTTTGCTCAGGTAAAGAAACATTGTACAATGTAATAGTGTAAAGACTACCAAATACCCTAACCCACACATGTGGATTGAAATGTATGTACTTTACCCGAATAAATATTTGTATTTGTATAATTAAATGTGACAATGTTTCGGTCCGTCCTGGACCCTTATCAAGTGATGACCTTGCAAAAGTTGGAGTGTCTCGATATAAGGCAAGAGAGTTGGGTTACTGGTTTTCAGAAACATTACTGTAACCTGTTCTCTGCAAAGAAGACCAACTTCTCATTTTATTGCATGTTAAAATCATAAATACACACTAGTGACCTAATTTGAATGCCTGCACATCAAATATGAACCTGGGGGCCAGATTCACAAAAGCACTTACGAACCTGTACATCTTTTCTCAATCTTTGGCGGCTTTGTTTACAATTATTAAACAGTTAATGAGCTCCGAAACACCAGGAGGCTGTTTATAAGAATGACAACAGTTGATTGGCAAATTTTCATGCTTGTAAACTGTTTAATAAATGTAACCAAAGCCATCAAAGAGTGAGGAAAGATGTACACGTTCGTAAGTGCTTGCGTAAGTGCTTTCGTGAATCTGGACCCTGGATTCTTGAATGCTATAAAAAGATTATTTTTCCATGGCTGAATAACTTACTCATAGCATGTTTTTCTCGTAGAAGAGCAGCATCCTTTTCCAAAAGAGCATCTTCAGCAATGCGTACACTCTCCGCTACTCGTGTTTGGGCTTCTTTTAGTTTGCATTTCACATTCATAAGAATGTTTGTCAAATTATCCTGAAAAAATGTTTCACTAAGCTTAACTTCATATGTATATACTGTACTGTATAACGTTTATTAGAATCGAGCTCTACCCTAGTAATTTGCATGCAGATATATACAGTATATATACATATACACAGTATATAAAACTGAACTTTATCAGGTTGTGTAAAATGTTTACAACTTCAGAAATTATGAACTCTTAATTAGTTCTCTGCATTAGGCAACAGAAATCTGTATAATTATCATACTCCAACTTATCTAATACAGTATAACAAACACTTCATTACTTTGCTTTTCTGAAGAGCTTCAGTTTGGGCCAAGATAGTCTGGAGGTCTTCACTTTGCTCCATGAACTTGGAATTGAGATCTGTAAAAGATGCTTTTACCTCCTGTAAAGCTGTGTCTTTATCATCCATTTCAGATCTGAAAATAAGATTCTTCTGCCTTTCCTGCTCAAAGTTGCCCTCAAGAAAGGAAACCTGGAAAGAGAAACTTACATTAAAGTCTACCAAAACAGGACTGCCAACTCTCGTTTGCAGGGGAAAAAGATTATTCTCCCACAGCTCATCTGAAGCCATAATTTACTAGTTTTCCCCAGAACACAATCCAAGAATTGCTCTACAATCAGGTCTCCAATTACTGCTGGATGCACAGTATCACACAGCAAAGACATGGTGCCCGGTCATCCTACATGTCTACGACTCAAACATGGCGGGCATTGTAAATATTATTCAAACTAAGGCATTTATATTTCAGAATTATTTTACAAAGCTTACACAGTGTATTATAAATTAGAATTTATAATATAATTACTGTTGACCAGACCACACACTGGAAGGTGAAGGGACGACGACGTTTTGGTCCGTCCTGGACCATTCTCAAGTCGGAACATTCTCCTGGAATGCCTGGAACATTCTCAAGTCACAATCGACTTGAGAATGGTCCAGGACGGACTGAAACGTCGTTATTCCTTCACCTTCTAGTGTGTGGTCTGGTCGACATACTTTAGCCACGTTATTGTGACTCATCACCTGAATATCATTACTGTAATGTACACGACTTGCCTTTTTCTTCAATTCAACGTTAGATTTGAGTATTTGCAATTTTTCATCATCTAATTTTCCCAGTTCAGCACGTAGTCTTTCTGTCTCCTCTTCTAGTACTTGTACAACTCTTAAATACTCCTCGTGTGACTGTAAACAGATAGAGAATATTAATAAAGTGACAAATTATAATCATTTTCTATATTAAGGTTAACAACTAGATATTTTTAAATCATAATTGATCAAAGGTCTCTATAGTACTCAATAACATGCCCATCTCACAATACATACAATTATTATTAAAATTACACATGCCATTTAATTCTGCTCATCCGTTACAAAGTATGGACATTGTATTGTACAGTATATACAATGTGCGAATCATATCTTAATATATTCTTACATACATTACCCAATTTTTCACTTTCATGGGGTTAGTAGACTAAGCCGTGGAGTAAAATAAAGCACCAAGAGTAATGAAATGCAGCTTCCCTCAGCTTATGTCACTAGCGCACATAGGACGCCGAGAAAATGTCAGCATCTAGTAAAAAATTTTGTACACCGAGGACAATCGCCTTTTTCACGCGTCTGGTCCCCCTCCATGTGGAGGGAAGCTAGCGGACATCAGCGATTAACCCACTACAGGTACTTCCACAAGATGAAATACCCTTGAACCAAGGGAAGCTTCAAAACACTCAACTGTCCAAGAAATGTTTGGAAACTTCAAACCTCTAAACAACTCTTGTAATTATGTGGTAACCAAGCCAACATCAGATCGGGAAAAGGAAGCCACCTCACACAAGCCACAGTCCAAGACACGGGCAAACTTGGAAACAAGAGTGGGAATTGGCCACTATGAAGTTTCAGCCCAGAAAGGACATTTTATTGCACTCTGTAGTTTATTTCAGGACTTGCATCTCTCTCTGTAGCTTATCTCAGCTTCCTTCCCATGGTGCTTCCAAGAAAAATGTACCATTCTACTAACATTCTATATAATAAGAGCACTTGCCCATGACAGAAGTAGCACTGATGAGAGGTGCAATAAATTGTAGACACGACAGGAACTAAGTGCCAGAGAGCCCCACCAATGATAATGTAGATCTAAGAGAGCCTCAACCACAAAGACCTTGAGAGAGCTTATGTTTTCGATCTTGGGTCAGTGGACAGAGACGGAGGCAGATAAAGCAGCAACATTTTCCAGATTGTGTGCATTAAAAGCAAAAAAATGGTGGCTGATGAAGCCTGATGTCCCTACAAATCACGTGGCAGAGGACACGTGACGCCTTTCATGTATGGCATCACAGAGTGAGGATATGAAAGTGTAACATCAACAGAACCCCTTGTTACCCCCGCAAAGATTGCAGTTCTCTACTACTATTACTACTACTGGACAGAGTGCAATACATAAGCCCTATAATGATGCCTAAATCACAAGAGGTGATTGAACATGAAAAGTTCATCAGTGGCCTCTTTTTTTTTTTTTTTTTTTTTTTTCTTCATGAAGGGGTAGAATAAAAGAAGTCATTCTCTTATTCTTCCTTCATGAAGACTCAGTCTTCATTAAGAAGGAAGAATGTGCTGATATCCTAACAAATTGATTCCCAAGATAGAAAACCAGAAGACTTACCAGTTAAAGGTAACTCATGATCCTGATGATCAAACAATAAGGCAAACACCTAACCGAGTTTAATCCTTCAGGAAGGGAAATACCCAATAGAAGAGCAAAGGCTATAAATTTTGATCTAATGTCCACAGCAGCTCAAGTGAGGGGTAAGCTGGCCAGTGATGAAATAAAGCTCTTGTAAGATTTATGAAACTAATGACAAATCAAAACCAAAACGTAAAAATAAAGTTGACTTGTACGAGGCAATAGTAATAGGCACAAAGTTGTGCTCTCCAAAGCAACTATTTTGGTTGTAACTGAATGCGAGGAAAAATTAAAACCTTCAAAAATTTCTCTACATTCTAATTTTTCCATGATGTGAGTGTTGCAATGCAAGTCATTAGTAATGAGAGTGAAGAAATTCAATAGGTGAAGAAATTCAACAGGCCATCATAACTGAAGTTTTATGGGACTTACATTAACAAAAACACACACACAAATGTATACTGTACTATACACCAAATTACAAAGCACTTCAGACTAACCTTGCCAAGTGGTGGAGCATGAACACCATCGGTTCCTGTCTGCAAAATTGCCACTTCTTGATGTAGACGCTGAACCTCTAAAGCTTGTCTCCTACTTTCTGCTTGGCTTAACTCCTTCTCCTAATGATTAGTAGTAAAATAGAAGACATTACACTAGAGCTTGGATATAACTTGTGTGCACACACTTAAGAATGCACGGGAAGAACAACAAAGAAATTTTTATAGAAAAATTAGGCTATTAAAAAAATTGCCATACTAAGCAGATCATTTTACTACTTCCTGAGGCATGTCCTATGTTCATTGGTCAGGCTCATGCACAGTGAGGCAGAATGACATGTTTTGATGATGTTTGTGGGAAATTTGAGTTTTTCTCAAGTAAGAACAGTACTGTATTTGACCATCCATTCCTCGGGATGCGACCCACAATAGTCAACCAACCAGGTACTGTACCCGTTTCCTACGAGGTGAACAGAGACAAGAGACGTAAGGAGACTTGCCCAGCTGATTTGCTCTGACCAGGATATTGCACCTTTGCCACAGGGAACATTTCAAAGATCTATGAGTGATTATGAAAGGTACTTTAACATTTTTCAGTTCAACCAAGAATGACCAATGTAGGATCTGTTCATAAGCTCAAGCCCCCTCCCCCCTTCCCTCAACACCACAGGGTAACTGCCAAGGAATGACCCTGGTTAGCTACCGACTGTCTTGATTAATATCTTTGCTGTCACCAGGTGGCATTACCTTCCCCATCTGTGCATTCTTCCTGACTCAAAGAGCTTGCCTCTTAAGCACAGAGGAAGCAGGGAAGGATGGTAAGGAAACTGATGTTCAATGCTATATGGTAGAGCATAGTTATATAGGTTCACTTTCAGAGTCTATGTAAATAGAGTCTGATATCTGCCCGATTTGCCAATCTTTAAACAAAATAAGATTTATACACCTGTGACCTTCCTGTGTTCTGTTGGAATCAAGTGGTGTTTGGATGCAGTTCTCGACTATATATTTACTTTGGTTCGAGTTCCTCAGTTTCCACAAATTTTAAAGTGATGACACTTCCTAGTGGTATTAATGACTGGCAATTAGTTGACAGCTGCACTCTCCTCTCAGGTAAGGGTGACCAATGACAATCTGTCCCTATTGAGGCCACTTGAGATGGCAGCGCTCAGGTAAATTCAGATCTGAGAGGCAATCCTCCTTGGTCCTCATCCTCATACCTTGTTTGTGTGACAGCACCCAAACCCTTGGTTAGTGGCCAAGAATGAGACTAGCATATTCTGGCAAAGACTATTAAGGATTGGAAGTGGAAGATGGCCTCAGGAGTTCACCAATTGTTACTTCTGGTGGCAGTCTTATGAAAGACTTAGGAGTAATGTATTAAAGGATTACAGTAACACAAAACAACTTTTTCTGAATGCAAGGACTGTAATCTGTATTAAAGCTATTGTGACAGCTGATCAAGTTATGTCAACCACAGGTGTGCACTAAATTTCATGATATTCATGACATTAAGTATTAGGAGCAGTGTAGGGCTACAGGCCTAACACTGCAAACCAGGCTTGACAGGGCAGACTTAATTTAAACTTTTAAAATACCGAACAAGTTGGAGGATGTTGATCCTGACAATTTCTTCAAAAGGTCAGATGTAACCAACAAGGAGCAGCAGTTTCAAGTTCAACAAACTTTAATGTAGGACTGAGAACAGGAGATACTTTTTCACCCACAGGGTTATAAACCCATGGAACCGCCTACATGCCAGAGCCGCAAACATCAAAACTGTTAGGTTTTAAAATCCATCTGGAGAGGATCAAGACAAATGGGAGGATGGGGAGGGGGGGCAGGGCAGTGTAAGCCTTCAACACGCTGCCGGCTTCCTGTTCTTATCAAGGCCACTAGTGTTAGTGGCCCTCAGGTAAATCAGGTATGTAACCCACACATATGAAAAGAAAGTAATGACTTTTTGGTATGTTCTTGACCCTTATTAAATCATGACTTCAATTGTGGGATGGATTACTAAATTTTTAGCTATGTTATTATGACATTATCCACAACCAATTTATTTAAGGTGCAGCATATGCATGCAGTACAGTATATATTTTGGAAAGTCAACATAATGCAGCTCAGAAATGTATATTTATACAGTACTTCAAAATAAAGGATAATTAAATATATCAAACCTTTAATGCAGTTTCTAGCTCTTGTTTCAGTAACTGAACCTCTTCTGAAAACTCCTGTACGGCTGCAGTCTGAGTCTGCTGAACCAATGATTCGATCCTGCTTTTATGATGCTTACTGGCTGAGGCTAATTTGTGCTGTTCAGACAACAGCTCTCCCTGAAGGTTGTCAATTGTTACCTGTAGTGGTATATATGACATTCTAGTTTATTATTATATTAAATAAAGAAACCAAATACAGTATATTAACTTCATTAAGAGCAAGAGGACAAAGTGTTCCAAGTGACAGCATGCATAAAACTCAATCGTTAGTTTCTAAACTTAAAATCATGCAGTTGTTTTCAAAGAAATATTATGAATAACACCTGCTGCCTTTGCAAGAGAGCTGCTTGCTTCTGTATGGTTTCTTCATACTCCTGAAACAGGCGGTCCCTGAAAGAGGTTTTAGAGTTAAATTTTACTTGTAAAATCAGCAAACAATTAAGCAAGTCAACCCCTGCTATGCATGATGAAAATCGATGGCATAAAAGAATTTGAATGAAATGTACTAAAGGTTATATTGCAAGTTCCAAACTCACGACAGGGATGTGTTCATAATTTTCCATTGTAAGTCGACTGGTCAGAACTCTAAACACAATTTTGCCGAGGCAATATGCTATAAATGGGAGACAAGAACTAAAATTTGGTATACAATGGTTTACACATTTTGAAATATAAATAATATTTAAACAAAAACCAGTTTTATTTACTTTGAATGCTTGATTTGCCATGTTAACTGGATTTGATAATTGAGGAAACAGTAGTTAAATTAATAGAGGATAAGGAGGTACAGTAGGAGGTAACAATCCCAGCATTTCCATTTAAAAAATAATAATACTGTACTACACTTTTTGGTTACATGGTTGTATTTTGCAGAAAAAATCTGAATTCTGGAGGGTCCAAGGTCCAATCAGGAATGACAAATAATTTCCAGTACAGTACTGTAGATCTTTTTTTTTCATAATTTTTTGCATTTTAAAATTGTATCTATTAAAAAAAAATTATTGTAGAAATATATAACCGTTTTTACTGTACAGTACTATTTACACACACATTTTGTACAAAAGAGATATTTCATGCTCTCATTGCCTCTGCGAGCACATGAAATTATAGTCTGGGTAATCGCTAAGCCTGAGCAAGTTCAGAGGTCAGATAGTTTTGTGGATGTCTCTGATACCAGAAACAATGCACTGGGAAACTGCCAAAGACCAGCATAGAAATGTACATAAAATGTAACAAAATCTATGAGAACTCATGTCTAGCAAATCACACACATCTGTATTAAATTTTGTTGATAAATAATATATTTTAAATTTTGTGATAGGAGAATCAATCCAGGACACCCCATGCAAAAGACTTAAGAAAATAATATATTGTAGCATTGTAAATGACTTGCTGATTTAGTATGCCATAAAAATAATGCCCCCCCCCCCCCATCAACTATGCATTGAATAAAAGGTATAAACTTCTTGTTAGGTTGGGATATGATATAAACCCGTGTATTTTATCACAAATACATCAAACAACAAACAAAAAGATTTTTGAAAATGTAGAACAGTGTGAAACACATGCATGAACCTCACCTCTCCATCTTCTTAATGGCCTCCCTTGCTCAACTTCTACAGCCCTGAAACATTAAAAGTACTGTATGGTAATGTAATCCAGAATCTAAACAACAGTGTTAATTTATACATGTAATTTCCAATTGCAGCATTTTACACTCGTGATTTATACCCAAACTATGAACTAGACTTACCATTAGTGAGGACAAGAAACCTGTATTTAGCCATATTGAGGTCCTCCTAGGTCAAGGGACGAGTATGATAAATGCAATGAAACATGCCTGAAGTTTATTAAAAAGGCAGCTGCAGTGGCAAGGACAGCTAAAGCAAAGACCCCGTAATACTTGGAAATTCTAAGCACAGGGAAATAGACTGGTCAATAAAGGATCATCACAGGAGATGAAACATGGAGAGCAAAATTTGTTGACACTTCAGACAAACACTTTCTCTGGCAACATATCAAGAAGCAGAAAGAGGTGGTGACCTACCAGTTACTCTTTTTTTTCAGTGTTTACGCAAAATTAAAAAGATAGAGAACTTAAAATGTGAGGTGCCACTAGTAGCCAGTGACCACTGTGTTTTTGTGTTCAATAGTATCAGTTTTTTTTTTTTTTTAAGACGAATGCCTTATAGCTTTTCAGGCTATCCCAAGTTTAGCAGGAGTCAGACCTATGTTCAGCTTTAGGGTTAAACCATGAAGTTCTTCTTTGCAATACGTACTGTTTGCATGGATGTCGTAGTCGAGTCAAGGGTGACAAGAGTACTATCCATGTACAACCTGTCAACACAGCGTCCAGACTGAAAACAAACCAGCTTGCAGGGTTAGTGTTGACGTCGCTTACACTCCAAGCAACCCCGTCCATTCTCTTTCTCGTCATGAACTAAATTGTTTTTATTTAAATGTTAAAAAAGAACAATCTTTTGTTAAATGGGGGGGGGGGGGTCAGAGACAGAAAAGGATTTGGGAGTGGATATATAATTATAACACTATCTCTACAGGAACACATAAACAGATGGAGAAGCAAATTGGGATAATTGGGAAACACTATACGATCCGTTACACAACTTGATAATTAATGGTCCAAGATGGGCCGAAACCTCTTCGTTTCCTCATTTCAGTTATATTTATGTATTTATTTATATATATACAAGAGTTCTTACATTCTTGTACAGCCACCAGCACGCATAGCGTTTCGGGCATGTCCTTAATCCTAATATTCCCCGGAATACGACCGCCAAATCGTTCAACAACCAGGGTATCCATTTTACTGTTGGGTAAACAGAGGCTACAGTTAAGGATTGGCACCCAGTCAATCCTCCCCGGCCAGGATTGGAACTTAGGCCAAAGGGCTCGCGAGGCGCCGGGCGAGGGTTTTACCACTGCGCCACGGAGAATACTTTTTAGTCTGGATATGTGGCTTTTAAATACTTTCGTATTTAAAAGATTGTCCTTCTGAAGATAAATTATATATTATAAGATGACAATTATATATATTATATATATATATATATATATATATATATATATATATATATATATATATATATATATATATATATATATATATATATATATATATATATATGCAAACAAGCCTGAATGGTCCCCAGGACTATATATATATATATATATATATATATATATATATATATATATATATATATATATATTGAGAAAGGGAAGATATATATCAGGCTAAAAACAGGTCTACATATAACACAAAGCAAAATTTATACAATCGCCGGAAACAGAAAACAATATGCAAATTAAGCTTGTGCAATGAGTCATCTCGCTTGGCATTCAGAAAGCGGGATCCCCTGTGCAAAACTGTGTTGAATAAGCCACTCTGCACTCTGCAATGATTACTGGCCGGTCCTGCAACAAAGGGGGATGTCACTCCCGGTTCTGTTATCTTGTGAGGGTGATGGTGGTGGTGGTAGTGTGGGTTGGCTGTTTAATGTCGTGGTGGTGGTGATTGGTTGTAAGTGGTCATGGTGGTTGGTTGTGGCTTTGGACGAGTTGGTTGTGGTTCTGGTTTGGTGATGTTAGTTGTGATATAGTTGTGGGACTGATGATAGGTAAGTAGGCAACATTAGCGATGGTGGTGGCTACATTAGCTGGGTCATGGTAATGCTTATGATAGTGGTAGTGATGACGACGATTGTGACACAGGGATTCGATCCGGCACCACAGTTCGAGGGCCCCTGTCTGCCCACTGTCTCTGGCCCTCGGTCTCATATTATAAAAAATTTGCAATCTCGTTATGCAGTGATCATGAACGAAAACATTTGAGTTTCCCCCATAAAATATTCGCTCAGATTCGCGCCGCTTCGACTGCGAACAACACTATTTTCCCCGACAAATTCCCTACATCGAAAAAAATATCGTTACACAGAGTTTTCAATGATTTATTGGAATGCAATAATTTAGAGTTGACGATTGGCATAAGACAGTGTTAGATGAAATTACAAGTCTAACTGCGACAATTTTGTTTTTGCATACTGTCAGTGCAACAAAAGGGTAATTACACTTAGACATCAATAATTTACAATTATAGTGATTGCAAATTTAGCCCGAGACAGACCAATGCCGTAACACGATTAATTCGTGGTTTGTAGAACAAACTGGTATCCATAACAACTGTTCATTATAGCGACGCATGTCGATAATTAACACAACAATACTCTCTAAATTATCGATAGTTCCTCGCTATTGCCTTGCCTAACCACTTGAGCTGAACGGTAGAGCGACGGTCTCGTTTCATGCAAGTTGGCGTTCAATCCCCGACCGTCCACAAATGGTTGGACACCATTCCTTTCCCCCCGTCCCATCCCAAATCCTTATCCTGACCCCTTCCCAGTGCTATATAGTCTAATGGCTTGGCGCTTTCCCCCTGATAGTTCAATTCGCTGCTGCCTTGTGCGGACAACACAAACTACACCAAGATATAATTACCTCACAATTCCTTAACCGCTCCAATTGCAACCAGCACAATTATTTCAATGATCGAAACAACTCAAATTGTAATTCTGAGATTATTGAAACTTACAATCATTATTATCAACTCACATTGCAGTAACTGAATAGACACGCTTTCGGACCATGGGATGAGAGGACAAAGAGGTGGGGGAGTGAGAGGGGAAGACCATGGTACTGAGGGAGAGGGAAGGACCTGGGGTGAGAGAGGGAGGAGGACCAGGGAAGAGTGGGATAGAAGAGGAACATGAGTGGGGTGAGAAAGAGGGGAAGGATCTTGGAAGGTGAGATAGATAGAGGGGGAAGCATCTTAGAAAAAGAGGGGAAGAGGGAGGACCAGAAAGTGAGAGTTAATCCGTCCTTTGGAATAGTACATCGTATTTTAACGTATAAATCCCCTAAGGCCAAAATTATTTGTACTAAAAATCACAGCGACTCGCAAAATGATCGCGATGCCCTCGTTTTCTACTCCTGTGTCCTCGATAAGGTTAGGTTCAGGCACTTTAGTGCATTTTAGTGACGCCGTGAAGGCTCAAGAGGACAAACTACTTAAACAATAAATAATAAGATAACTTCTGAATACCAAATCGTGATCCACACAGCAAGCGGGCAGAAAATATACCAAAGGTTATATATTCATCACACGTGGTCCGCCTCTCGCTACACAAAGGTCAGAAATCTGAATAAAAGCGAAACAATTACAAGTATTAAAATTCATTCTGTAAACTCTCGCACCATAGCCAGTTGAAGTCCATTGAGCGTGGCAACCTATTTTGTGTGCATTTTTCTGCTGCAATATTTCCATGTATTTTGCGAAGGATAAATCACGAATGCATGTTAAGAGAGCTTGCGAATTCTAAAAGCCATTGTTGAAATGTTTCACAGTAGATTAATTTCGACGGGAATCTGTTAAATAATTTTTTGGGGAAGGTTTATTTTAAATAAGTTTTCTGGCAATTTTCCATTAAAATTGAAAACGAAGCTATTTTGTTAAGCCCCTCGGTACTGATGACTGTTTTCTCGTCGAATTTGGGGCAAAAAGGTCCTGCTATACACGACTGAGTATTAATTGTGCCAATACTCTCTTGTTGATTTTTTTAAATAGGGTCAAAGTCAAAGGGAAATTCCATTAGCGATAACAAAGAGGACGGGAAATATTGCTGCTCACCTTCTCTGGTAACACCTCGAACGATCGTATATGATAAAAACGAACGCTAGAAAAAAACTATATTTTCATATTATCTAATCCGGGAATTAGTTTTGCAAATTTCTTTTAGAATTGTTTATTTTATTTGATATTAAATATAATAAAATAAAATGGTTATTTTGTTGCCAGACAATCTGTTAAACAAATGTGATACATTCCAAATATTGATCGACATTTTGAGTGAATATACGGAATACTGGACGACATTTTAAGTGAATATACTGAATACTGAATGACATTTTAAGTGAATATACTGAATACTGAACGACATTTTAAGTGAATATACTGAATACTGAACGACATTTTAAGTGAATATACTGAATACTGAGCGACATTTTGAGTCAACAAATCCAGTCAATAGATAATGATAGTGGAGTGCTGAGTTGGGAAATTTGTCAGTGAGAAAAGAGGAAAATTTGTCAGTGTGGACTGAAAATTTAAGGATAAGCCGAAATTTTTAGTGGTGTAGTGGGTCAGTTTAAGAATATAAGGTACAATAAAACTTAGGAGCAATGTAAAGCATTAGAAGTGAGGAATGTTGAAATTTAAGAACATGATGAATTTATTGTAATCATTAGTGAAATATTATAATTAGGTATGAGGGAGCATGTGAGAAAAAATGTGATATATTTTGTGGCAATTGGGTAGGAAAAAATCTGAGGAGCATCTATAATAATATTTTTAACACTTGATTTTTTTTTGACAATCGACGGTATTGATATGATCGTATTTAATATATACCCACTAAAGATACTAAAAATAATTACATATATTTTACCAAAAATTTTAAAATATAAATTATACAAATATATGTTGGCATATTTTCCCTTATATTTATTGATCCCACCTCTAATCTATATAGAATTTCCTGGCATATTCTTAGACCCTAGACAACACTAACCCATAGGCTGCTAACCATTTCCCGGTTACAAATCCCCAATATATTTCCCAGTTTGTCCTGTCACCCCTTCGTTAAACTGTCGAAATCATCATCGTTATCATATATACAACAACCAGATCTGTTACGACCCGGTATGACTTCAATGTCAATAGCTTGGTTTCACTTTACATACAGGTAGTTAGGAATACAACAGATGAAAGAATATCATAGGAATTTTATCATATGTATATTTATAGAAAAACGGTAAATGACAGATACACAAGTCAGTTGCAACTAGTGAGATTTTTACCATTGTTTTTGTGCAATCAGAACATAGCATCGAGGTACAGTTACTGATGGTGAGAGTTAATTCTAATATAACTACAGCTTTTGAATTTAACTGTTGAGAGATCAAGTTCCATATCCCCAGCATTTAGTTTCCATGCCTCTCCTTATCATACCTCCCATTATTTGGCTTCCTCACCCCAATTATTTGCTTTCTATACTACATTATACTTGGCTTCCATACTTCCTGGATAACACCCATGCTGCTGTACCATCCTATCCCTCTTCAGTATTATCCAAATACACTGTAATACGTTTCCAGCACACATCTCTAAATCCTCACTCGCTCGTCCAACCACTTGGGCTGGACGGTAGAGCTTCATGCAGGTCGGCGTTCAATCCCCGATCGTCCAAGTGATTAGGCACCATTCCTTCCGTCCCGTCCTAAATCCTTATCCCGATCCTGTCCAAAGTGCTATATAGTCGTAATGGCTTGGCGCTTTTCC